TGTAGACCCTGGAGGGCTTTGACAAGCCCAGGTTGCCCCATCATATTTCCCCCAGGCAGAGGACTGCTGCCGCCCTGTGAGGATGTATGGGTGTGAGCTGGCCCCTGTTTCAGCTCCAAACTTTGACCATTGTTTTTGTAGTTTTAACACCCGCTCCCAATTTTTGGTTCAGTTCTGTCTTTTCTTAACTCCTTTTTGCAATGCCATGCCTACCTCTTGGGTCACCATGTTTAGTGTCTGTCCTCTGATTTTTTAAAAATTTAGGTTCTTGCACCTGGGCCTTCTCACATCTGGGAGGAAGTGGAGATCTGGCTTTGAGAACACTTCCTTCAACACAGCTTTTTTCCTTGCCTCGAGTCTTCTTCTCCTCTCCCACAATGGCCAGTGTCCTAGAATGCCCTATTTTGGACCCCTCCTACCACCTGGTGGCAGATCGCTCAGTCACAAGCATTCTGCTTCCTTCCTCGTTACAGCTGTATGAGCTCTAGAGTCCCACAGGTGCTTCAGGGCAGCCACCCACAGGCAGCCTCTGGTCATGTGGCCAGCCCGCTGCTTGTGCTGTAGGGAGCTGAAGTGACTTAGCTGGTTGGCTACATATGCCCACCCATTAGTGGGATCTCATAAGGCTAACATCCAAGCAAAGACCTGCTCTCTTTAGCCTGGTGAGCTGTAGACCACAGTGTATATCCTGCCGGCATGGTAGATTTTACTCTAGCTGGCTCCCACCAGGTGCCTGGCAAAAAGGCTACCGGGGCCTGGGCCATTCTAAAGACTGTCACTCACTTCAAGGAAAAGTCAAAGTTTTGACAAATAAAATGTCAATATTAAAATTTTGAGCAATGAATGGCATTTATGAACTTAGTATATATAGTAGCCTATGTCAGACCCCTTCAAGCCATTAAGCTGTACTTTTTCAGTGGCAAAACTAAATATGATTTAAAATATCATACCATTCACTTCTGCTACCTTCATCCAGAAACCTTCACAACAAAGCATAGAAAAGTCTTTATCTCTAAAATCCTGGCCATTGGTTGATCAATTTATTGCGATTGTTGTTATAGAGTAATTACTAGGGGGGAACAAAACCTTGGAGTTTGGATTTCTGTGGGAAAGGAACAGATTTTCCTTAGATTTTTCTAGAAGGATGTCACAGAAGGTAAGTGTTTTTTAATGATAAATGTCCAGGGAGTACAATGGGTTGGAAGCCATTGAGAGATTTCTGTCAAAACCTCAAATAAAAGTGGATGTCTACCACCGTATACATCCCTCCCCACAGAAAGGATAACCTGATTTCCAGCCTTCAGAGCCTTCTGACAACTTCCTGCTTGTCCCCCTCCTGCAGGAAGTCTGTGTAAGCCTGGCGGTGCTGGGGCTGGAATGTGGGGTTTGCCTGCATGAGAGTTTTCGTGCAGTCTCACTGCAGGTGGAGCCCCCGCTTTGGAGTCCCAGCGTGAGTGTCAGGGGTGGTATGGTGTGCATGGAGTACTGACACATGGTGCCACTTGGAGGACACAGTTTTGCATTACTTCGAGGAGACAGGAAGGATATTTACTAAAAACAAAGACAGGATATAGTGACTATCACATTTTCTCCTACCTCGGAAGCTAGACATGAACACCTAACTCAAGACAGCAATGCCCTCCTAATGATCAGCTCTGCACCTCTCAGCAGCACTCGGTGGCATTTTTGTTCCAGTGTCTTCCAAAGGAATTGAGTGCCCGTTGTACAGATAGCAAGCCGCACTCGCTGAGGAACCAAGGCGAGAATAATGGGCAGTTGATCTGTGAAGCTCCTGCCCTGCCTCCCCCCACTAGTGCACAGAGCACTTTGCCCTAGGGCTTCCATGGGGAGCTGTCCCTGAAGAGGCCGGACCTCTGGGTCCCCAGTGGACTGCATCTGTGCAGTCACGGTGTGTAAGTGCAAAGAACTCCCTTTTCATGTGATGTGTGAAAGCTGCCACCTGTATCTAATTTGTGGATTTCAATAATCTGCTCCCTTTATTTTGAAAATAGTACTGAGCCTCCCAGTATTTGTAAGTGGGTTCTGTGAGTGGGTTTCTGCTGGTGGGAGCCCTTCCTGGGCTGATGACACACAAGCACATGTGGCTGTGCATGTCCAGGTGGGTCGCTTCTGCCGATTGTGAGGTCACTGGGCTCCTACCTGCCTTCTGCCTTAAGGTGGCTCAAATCTGTTCCTGGCCAGTCTGGGTCCCAGTGTGCCTTTTGCCAAGAATCCCGGTGTGGCCGCTCTTCTGCTTCAGACAACAGCACACTTTTGAGAAGGGACAGAAGTTTTGTCTTTTGTAGGAAGGCAGATGGCTCATCCTGCCTTCTGGGCCCTTAGCTCACTTTACTCTGTGAGGCCTAGCAAGGAAAATGCTATTTAATTGCATTGTCTCTGCCTTGCACTTGGCTTTTATTGTCTGAGTGGGAGAATCTGGTTATTTCCCTGAAACCTTATGTAGGAGAGCATGGGAAGAGGTAGGTTCTCAAAGTGCCATCCTATCTACCAACCAACTTAAAAACAACGCAAACAATAAGGAACTTTCACATCCTACTTCCCTTTAAAATTCCTGTCTACTTAAAAATACTCCCCTCCCCACCAAAAATGGTGTTGAGTTATTTTACCATGATTTTTTACACATGCCCTAACAGAGTCAAGGGTTGTGGTGAAATGTGCACCTTCCCTTTTAACTCGTTGTCAGTTTGCTAATGACATTGTTGTGATTTACAACTTCTTGGAACAAATCCAGTTAAATCTTCTAAGGAAAAAAAGGCAGTTTGTAGGAGGAATGACTCCCTGGGCTCCCTGGGACAGTCCTGGGGCCTTCCCCCCTCCCTGCTGTCCCATGCAGGTCCTCACGTACCTGCTCCCCCTCAAGCCACTCTTGTCTGGGAAACCCACTTCCCTGGACCCTGCTCCTGTCCTGAGAGCTTCTGGGAACAGGCCGGTGTGCTGCTGAGGGAAGCCACTGACCTCGGTGCTTCTTCCTCTCTCATTCCGGTCACCTGCCCTCCTTTGCACTTATTGAACCTTTGTGTCTGATTTTCCTACTCCACAAATAAATCATCTCTCCTCATTTCCTCCCCATCTTGAGACAGTGAGATAATTTCCTTCCTACCTGAAAAGCCAGAGCCCTACATGGGGACTTGGGCTGCCATGCCATCAGAGCTCTGTGACCTTGTGTGATACTTGGCTCTTGTAGTTACTTTTTCTCACCTGTGTAACAAGGAGATCAGAGCGGATGATTTTTCTTTTCCCATTCTAGCTAAAATCTGTTGGATAAAATGCAGAAAGGATTGTCCCCAATCGGCATGACCTGGACCTGGCCAGTGACATGACCCATGCAGAGGGGCCCTGCCTTGGGACCAGGAGAATGTGGCAGGAAGTTGAGTGTTCTGGGTGGTTAGTTATGGACTTTGCTGTACTGTGATCTCCATTTATACTGTTTTGTTTTCCAATGGCTTTATTGCAGCAAAGTTAGGTCAGTAGGTATCAACTGATGATAAAGATGAAAAATCTGTGGTATTATTTTGTATCTCAGTAGCCAAAAATAATGATTGTAGCTTATCTCTGCACCTGCTGTTTTTTTTTTAAATAAACTATTTTAGAACAGTTTTAGATTTATAGAGAAATTATGAAGGAAATTCACAAATTGTAACAGGAAACTGTAAAATCCTGTTATAAACATCCTACATTAGTATGGTATATTAGTATGAACTGATACTGATACAAGTAAAGGCCATACTTTATTCAGACTTTCCTGTGTTCTCCCTAATGTCCTTTCCCCCATCTAGGATCCCACATGGCACTTAGTTGTCATGCCTCCTCAGGCCCCTCTTGCCTTTGACAATTTCTTGGACTTTCCTTGTTTCTGAGGACTGAGTATTTTGAGGAGTGTTGATCAGGTGTTTTGTACAATGCTCCTCATCTGTGATTTATCTGGTATTTTTTCCTGATACGTCTGGGGCTCTGGATTTGGTTATGAAGAGCACCAAGGTGAGGTGTCTTTCTCATCACATAATACCATAAACATGACTGTTGCTGTTGATGTTGACCATTAGTTTCTCCACTGTAAAATGTCTCTTTTTTTTTCTCCCCTTTCTAGACTGTCCTTTTTGGAAGGAAGTTACTATGGGCAGCCCACACTTCAGGATGGGGAGTTTAGTCCCACCTCCTTGAAGGTGGGAGTGGGCCTGACCCAGTAGGCAGGGTTGGCCCCTACGTTACCGGAAAGCCATTTAAATGCTGACCTGGCATCCCGGGACCCTCGTGAGTGTGTCCCATGTGAGGGATGGGTGACATAAGCCGTATGTGAACGTATGCTCCCTCTCAATATGTGCTCCGAAGTGTCTTATGCACCTAAGGCTAACACTTGGGTCCCCCTCACCAAAAATAAATAAATAAATAAAGGAATTCCTGGAGTAGTAACAGTTACAAAATGTGCAAACATCTAATAATTCAACATTTTTGTACTCTGGACCTAACTCTGGATTAACTTAAAAGTAGAAACAGCTACTTGGTCCTTACCCCCAAGAGAATTCCATAAAGGTCTGAAAAACATTGCCATTGCCACTTGAGGCCTCTGGGTTTTAATAATAAAATATGGCTTGGTTTGCCTCCTCTAACAGTACACTGAGAATGACATATTTTTTTTTCTGGTAAATTACATGATTGTCGGGGGCAGGAACAATGTCAGTAATGTGTGTTCCCTGTACTCCATAGTTTCTGCCCGTACAAGGTTTCAGTTAGGAACTGAGAGAATGCGACTGCTCAGAGACCCCATGGTAAGGTCTGCTGGGTCCTGGCCCTGGGAGTGTCTGTGTGCTCTGGCCAAGCCTCAGGCTGGAGAGCTCCTCGGTGGGTGTTCAGATTGGGGAATTCTGAGATTGAATACATTTTAGTAATAAATAACAATAGGGACCTGGTTACACTATGCTGTGATTAGAAGGGTAAAAGGAGTGGCCCTGACGACATGCTCTGTTCTTCCTCTTTGGCAGGTTAGATCAGCAGGATGGGGTGCAAAGTGCTGTTCAGCCTGGGTCAGCAGATGCTGAGGCGGAAGGTGGTGGACTGCAGCCATGAAGAGAGCCGTCTGTCCCGCTGCCTGAACACTTTTGACCTGGTGGCGCTGGGGGTGGGCAGCACGCTGGGTGCTGGCGTGTACGTCCTGGCCGGAGCCGTGGCACGTGAGAATGCGGGCCCTGCCATTGTCATCTCCTTCCTGATTGCTGCACTGGCCTCGGTGCTGGCCGGCCTTTGTTACGGCGAGTTTGGTGCTCGTGTCCCCAAGACTGGCTCAGCCTACCTCTATAGCTACGTCACTGTTGGGGAGCTCTGGGCCTTCATTACAGGGTGGAACCTCATTCTCTCCTACATCATTGGTAAGTCCCCCTCTTCTGTTGTTCCCACCTCCCGATCATGGGCAGATGGACCACTTTGCTCTCAAATAGACCAAATCTAGCTTCTACCCAAGAGCTCCCTCTTTGCCTGACAGTTGTCCATCATCCCTTTTCTTTTTACAAAGGGCAAAGGCAGCCTATGGACACCACTGCCCTGCCCCTCCAGTCTGTGCTCTTGGTGTTCATGGTCAAGTGTATCAGGGCTTAGTGGGGACAAACAGTTCAACAAGGAGGTCATTCCTGTTAACATGAGAGACATAGAACCAGTGGGATCTTTCTAATTAATTAAAAAGGGTTTAGTTTCTTTTAGATAGCTTTTTTTTTTTTGTAACTGCTAGAATAAATTTGTTATGGACACAGAAAGATGAGGGGAACATTGAAAAGCACAAAGAAGAAAGTAAAAATCTGAGAACTGGAACTCATTCATTCATTCATTCTCAATAAATATTTACTGAGCACTTGCTCTGTGCAAAACATTTTGCTAGATATTAGGGATGCAATAGAGGAAAAAGACAATCTCTCTTCATGAGATACGTGTTTTTGTCCTAGTATGTCTCTTCATTTATAAAACAATACATAGTAAACATTTTTCACAGCATTAACTGTTTTTCCATAGTAATATTCCTAATGGTTGCATGTCATTCTGTTGAAACAAACACATGAATAAAAGAATAACCAAAGAATTTGAATGACCAGTTTATAGAAGTAGAAATACGAATAACCATTAAACATTCCATTTATATTTAATAGGCTTTTTGTAATATTGTCAAAAGACAGCAAGGTGGGGTAGGTTGAGCCCTGTGGGTCCTGGGAGTGTCAGGGGCCGTGCTGTGTGTGCCCATTGCCATACACCCAGGCCACCTTCCCTTTCAGCCTTGAGGCGTCTGCTCAGAGCCAACCTGGCTTACTCTTCTAACTTCCAAAATACAATTCGCAACCATGGTTTTCTCAGCCCAACACCGAAACATAAATGCAGATACTCACACAAGCTGGGCTCTGATGCTGGGAATGCACCTATTTTAAATGGGCTGTTGTGTTTCCAGAGGATTTATCTGGGCACAAGACACAAGAGAGCATGAGTCCTAATAATTTTAGACCACAGATGATGCTCCTTTGCCAGAGCGCCACTTGCTGGTGTGGGATGATGCATGTGTCTGTCATTTGTTACTGTAGGAACTTGTCAGCCTTAATTGTTGGGGAGGGCAGTTTTTTCAGCCAACATGGGGTTGTAAAGCCCTGACTCAGAACTGGGGGTCGGGGAGGGCAGGCAGCCCCTCTCAGCCAGCAGGGTGGGATTTAAGATCTCGGTCAGCCCCTGGGATCTTAAGAGAGCTGGCCCCTGAGCCAAATGGGAGAACATGTTTCTTTACTGGGTCATGTCCTTGATGGACAGATTTCATAATAGGCAGGCTGCTCAGTATGAAGAAATGTGATTAAACTTTTGAGTTGTTGGAAAATTATTTATCATGAGACAAAAATAGCAGAAGTGAGTCTCAGCAGACCACTCTGGAAAACCCCTGGGGGCAATCCAGACTGCAGTCACCAGCAAGGCCCTTTTGAGAAAATAAAGGAAATGCTATACATGAATATTGGAATTTTAGCGATATTTCCTGAGGAATAGTGCTGGACAAGCAGGGACTTTATTCAGATTGAGACAGAGAAAAAGGGAGGGGGGAGGGAGACAGTGCGTGCACACAGTCAGCCGGGACTGGCAGTGGGAGCGCTGCCTCCTTCTGCGTTCCTCATGGCTGGGGTGCGGAAAGAGCATAGAACACTGTCTGCTGGCAGGCACTTGGGGGCCTCTGGGTATGAGCCCAGGATCAGGCAGAGTGGCAGATGGCAGAGGTGAGGGTCAGCCATGTGCCATGGCCCTGGTCTCCTCTGCTGAGAGGACAGTGTTCCCTAGGAGGGTCTTGGAAAACAAGCTTCTAAGCAAGATGCACGCTGCTCACTGCAACCCATGAGTGCATTGTGCCCTCAATTCCACGGCTTGCCATCAATGTTTCTTTTTGTAATGAAATAAAATAGGTAGAATTGAATAAATACTGAGTGCCTCTCAGGTGCAAGGGTAATGTGTTTTATAAAACTTCTATTAATAACTCAGTTAAATATTTGAAACACATATGCATGTATATATTGGGTCGTGGTGGATAATGCACTTTTTTCCAGGCCCTAGAATCTTGCTCGAACTTTTCGCTTCACCATGAACTTCTGAATTCATGCATGCATGCTGAGGTCTGGCTGCTGCTGCAGAATCCTGTGCACCGTCTGTGGTCACACATATGGATGCTGTAAATGTCCAGCTTGATGACAAATGCTTTGGTAATTGCTTTCTTTCACTTTATTCTGGTGTTTGTTTTGTGACAGGTACTTCAAGTGTGGCACGAGCCTGGAGTGCAACATTTGATGAGCTGATTGGCAAACCTATTGGGGAGTTCTCTCGGACACACATGGCTCTGAATATCCCCGGAGTGCTGGCCGAAAACCCAGACATCTTTGCTGTGATTATAATTCTCATCTTAACAGGTACAGCCAGACAGAGAGCCATCAGGTTGGAGGGAGGGGTCCAAGCTATAAAACCTAATGGGAGAGGTCCCATTAGGTTTTCTTTTCCTCTTTCTCCCTTCCTCCATTTTCTCCTCCTCCTTTCCCCCTCCTCCCCCTTCTTTTGCAATTAATGCAGACCTCTTGTTTTACCCTAATGGCTTCTGATAGATTCACACAGGTTTGCTTATCATTTAACTAAAAGAGAACCCTCAGGCGTATATGTCCCAGGTGACTGTGGAGTAAAATGTGTTAGTACTGCAGGCTTTTTTGTGCTGGTGACCCAGGAATACACTCTATTGACCCCGTGATGACCACTGGGAAAGGAAAGTTGGTGTGCGTCCTCCAGGCCAATGTGGAAGAATGAGGTCTGTCTGGAACACTAATGGGTTTCTGGAATGTCTAAGACGTCTCCAGTGGTTTCACACCTACTGGTCGTCAAAACACCCTTTAAGTAAATAAGTTTCATGACAAAGTTGTGTGCATAGAATTGAAAAATTTCAGATAGTGCTTTCCTACAACTGATGGCAGCTTCCTCTTAACTGACATTTCTCAGTGTCTCAGCCATTAGGGTGGGAGTTTTGCTGACATAAGCATTAAACTGAAATATGATAACTTCTCTTTTGAGGTTAAGAAACCTTGTATGGGTTTTAAAAACAACCTGTGCAATTTTGCCCACTATGTAATTGAAATCATTTTGCACAGGCCAGTCTCAGCAGTATTTCTGGTCCAGTTGGCAGGAGCATGTATCAGAAATGAAGTTTGCACTACTCAGATTTTCATAAACACGAGAGGGAGGGATGTGAAAGGAAGAACACAGCGTACTGGGGTGTCCTGTTCTTTGTGATGAATTACTCCATTCTTTTCTTATGCCTGCATTTCAGAGTTCAGTCTATTGCATGAGCATTTTTTATTTTAAAATGTATAAAAGACATACACAGCACACTAGTGATCTCTAATCATAAATGATGGTCATGTTCCCCAAGCACCTTTTCATGCATCTTTTCTTGCCCAGCTGAGAGTTTGCCACAGATCTCCCCAGATGGTGCGTTTACCCCAAGGTGGTCCTGCGTCATCATGTGGTTCCTGGGCATTTTTATCACTTGGTGTTTTTCCCTGTGTGAGTTTACAAGCTAAGCTGGCTTAGTGTTTGTCATGCACCGATTTCAAGGGGACCGTAGATGGTGGTGGCTTCACAACCACAGACACTTGATATTGCTGGTACTGCTAACATCCCCAAGTCAATCTGAATAGTTTCCTCATCCGAAAAACTCATTCTGCCAAGGAAACTGAGGAAAGGGTCTACTCCTTGGAGAAAATAAAATCCTGCTCCTGAGGGCAGTTCTCAGTAACATACTTTAGTGAGGGGGGAGGGTACAGGGAGAAGTGCTCACTTCATCACCTAGGGGGTCTTGATGTCCCCCTACTCTGCAGTCCCCTGATGCCCCCTGGATGGCATCCTCGTAGTGTTATTAAACACCCCAGGACTTTGGTTGTTTGATTACTGACTCTAGAAAGGTCATGAATTCAACCCCATCCCCAGAAGCTCACAGAAGTCTTCCAAGATTTGATGCCATGTGGATTCTTCTTAAGTCATTGTCCTCGTCTCTATCCCCATCCCAGGAAGGATTTGCCTGGTAAGAGGTTAACGCTCAAAGTTTTCTATATATGCATGTTTTCAGGACTTTTAACTCTTGGTGTGAAAGAATCGGCCATGGTCAACAAAATATTCACTTGTGTCAACGTTCTTGTCCTGGGCTTCATCATGGTGTCAGGATTTGTGAAAGGATCACTGAAAAACTGGCAGCTTGTGGAGGAGGATTTCCAGAACACAACTGGTCACTTGTGTGGCAAGTGAGTTGTTTTTTCTGTTCATAACCTTGGCATGTGACAGTTTGTGTGTTTGGGAGATGTAATTGGCTAGAACTGTACGAGCTTTTCTTCTAATAATGCGATTTGAATTTGAATATTTTGTTAATTTTTTTTGTAGTGAAGTAGCTGAGTATGTTTTATTGGTTTGAAATTTGTGTTAAGTTTTATTTCCTTCTTTATTTGAACAGAACATTGTATGACAGGGTGCTACTGAGCAAAACAAAATCTTCACTCTAATTCCAAAATGTACACAGTCGAGGATCACTGTCAGACTCACTAAGTAATCGCTTTTTTCTCATATTCTGTTTCATGACCTTCTTCTGAGTTTTGTGATCAGAAAAGATTTTCTCTGCAATACCAAGGTGATACCACTTCATTTTGAAATATTTAATGATAATATGGAAAAAGAAATACATGAAACTTTTATTGTGGGCTTTTACAGAGGTTTTCAGAATTACTAATGTATCAAAATGTGATTATAATAATCTCTTTCTCCCACACATGACTTGGGCTGCATCAGCCCTGAAAAGCAGTGGCCCCACCCCCCTGGCATGTCTCTGGCTCAGGGTCCCAGGGTTAGAGGAAGGTGACAGGTCTGCTCCCACCCCCCTCCCTTTTTAGGCCTTGCAGTGAACTCTCACTGACAAACTCGTATTATCTAGGACACAAAGCCACACAATTATAATGTATCTTTTTTATTTTTTCGTCAGATTTTTGGGTGAAACTTAGGGTCCTGGGATGGAGAACAGGGAGTTGATTTTACCTATAAGTCTATTTTAATTATGGCTGAAGGTTAAAAACTGCTCAGATAAAGAGACTCTTCTAAAATGCAGTGGGTTTAAAATGATGTATCAGGTCCTGAACTGAGCAGTTTGGTTGGCTGGCCAGTGTGGCTGTGCATAGGCTTTCAGGGGCTCAGACTGTGCATCTGGTTGTCCTGTCATCTCTGAGGATGTTGCCCTCATCCACCTGGTCAGAGCTGGGTTCTGGGTGCTGGCACAATCCAGCTGTCCCAGAAAGGGGACGAATGTGGAGCAGCATGTTCCCAGTGCTTTTAAGGACAGAGCTTTGAGATATACATCCCTTCTGACGACACTCCCCAGGCCAGAATTCAGTAGATGGCCTCTACTGAAATTCTAGCTGCAAGGGAGGCCGAGATGCTGGGATGTGAGTGGTCACACACCAACTTGGCTACTGGTAGTTAAAGGCTAGGTGTCCAGTCAGTGGTCTGATTAATGGGCAGGCATTGATGTGTGGCTAGTTCATGACCAGAACAAAAACAGGAAGCTATTGAATTAAATGCATGAAACTTCACTAACTCTCACATTATATGATTAACATTTCAAATAAAAAGAGCCTTTCTTTTGGGGACTAAACCCTATTACAGAGGAATGAGGACTTTTAATATATTTTCCCAAGCATTCCTGCCAAATCTATGCCAAACTTCTTGGTGCTCATTCACTTAGAGTATAGTAAAGCCAACTCAAACATGCTTTGAAGAAACAGTCAACTTTGAAAACTTTGGGCACCTATCTTACTGGTTGTGTTCACAGGTCAGGAATTAAATGTTTCTTGGTTAGCAGTCAAATTTCATTTTATTGTTTTTATGAAGAGGTTGTTCATGCCAGCTGTGGTATTTGCTTTCGTTGGTCATCCTTACACTCTATGTCCTAGCAACGATGAACTATACTGGCCTCCCAGACAAAGTGGCGCTTGTTGCCCGGCCCTGGGGACACAGTCATGGAGGGCAGCGAGCCAGCCACTTTAAGAGGTAGAGTGCATTGGGACAGGGACATAGCTTGCTTATGCATTTTATTAAAACCTGTAAGATTTTTCCTTTTTTTAATCAGCTGTAGATTTGTTTCTGACAATGGCCACACAGTCTTACATGAAATTGTTTGTCTCTCTGAAGTACTAGAGCCTTTCCCAGTGAGATCAAACAGCATGGAGGGGCTTCATCCTGCAGGGGCTCAGAGGCAGTTCCCACCACACTGTGCTGTAATTGTAGAAGTCATCTCACCAGCTGTCCACTTTCTTTGTGATTCATGGACCCAGGAGCGGCTGCCAGCGGGGCACCTGGGAGACAGCGCGGATTGTGGGACTGTACCTTGCTGACTTATCTGTCCTGGGCTTCCTTTTTTTGTACCTGGGTTGGCGGTTTACTTAAGTAATACTTTAAGATGACAGGGTTCCATTTGAGTCTGGTGAAACTTTACCGACATTGATCACTTGTGCATTTCTTGGGGTTTTCCTCACGTTGCTACTAAACCACAGTAAGTCCCAGTGGCTCCATAGCGGCATCTTCTGGAACTGAAAAATGCAATCATTTCCAAGGAATCAGGAAAAAGGGTTATTCCTCATTAGAAAATAATTGGGTCCAAATTGTTTGTCTGTTTTATTAGCCAGTTGATAAATCCCACTGAAAGCAAATTTGCCAAAATGAGTTGCTAACCCATTTTGTATTTATAGGACTGGAATATTTTATCTCATTCCTGTTCTCAGGCTGGGAGGTGAAGTGTTCTGTGAATGGGCTGCCAGTCAAGGGGGCAGGGCCGATGGGGAGGTGTGAGCGTGCTGAAACTGCCCTTCTCAGACTGGAAGGAGTGGGGCTGCTCTTCAGGTGGCTGAGGTTTAAGATTACTTGGTGTCAGGCAGGGCCCCCGAGGTAGACTGATGTCACAGACGGCCCCCCAGATGGGGCCTGGCAGGGGTGAAGCGCCCTCTGTTGAAGCTTAGGGTCTAGAGTCAGAGACTCTATTGGGCTGTTTTCTGGATCTTCAAGGACTTCGGGGTTCACAAAACATGCTTGTCTTTGAGTTCATTACGTCAGCAAATACTACTGAGCACCACCCATGAGCACCAGTGTCCACCCATGAAGCATCCCAACTGCTTATCTTGTGCACATGGGTGCATAGGAAGCATTTTTATTGACTAAAACAAATCACTGTTCGAACCTCAGTGTCTTTGGAAATGCTTGCTTTGAGACCTAAGTAGCTGGTAAATATGGAGACTTTTTGCATTTTGTTTCTAGCTCTGGGGCCCTGAACTGCCTGGCTTCATTTCTCTCTAGGGTTCTGGGGGAGAGGATGAGTTGTTGGATTTTCCTCTCTTTCCTGCTGGACACCCTATCACAATTCCTATATAACAAACACCCCCATTCCAAGTCAATGTTTAAAAGATACGCCTGGAATGGGCTTACTATACACCACTGTGGCTTTCTCTGGGCCATGCAAATCAAGGGGCCTGTTGCCCACAGAGTTGGGATGTGGTGGCTGGTGACAGCTGTCAGGGATCATGAACTGAGGGGTTGGAGCAATAGGCATAAGTCAGGTGGTGACTGTTTGGATCCATGAAACTGGTGTTGTGATCTTTGCTATGGCTCTTTTTTTTCTAGCAACACAAAGGCAGGGAAACCCGGTGTCGGTGGCTTCATGCCCTTCGGGTTCTCCGGTGTCCTATCAGGAGCAGCTACCTGCTTCTACGCCTTTGTGGGCTTCGACTGCATTGCCACCACAGGTATGCCTACCCACTTCTGGTCCCCCAGAGGTGCTTCCTGCTAATCTTCCCTGCCCTTATCACTTCCCTGAGGTGCAGTTCCTGACAGGAAACTGCATCAGGAGTGTGACTAACTGACCTGCCAGAATGAGTGGGATAGTGACAGCCGAGGCCATAGCCTGACTTCTTATCTGTGCATCATCCAGAGACATGAGGCCATTAAAAATACTGTCATCCTGGCAAATTGAATAGTCTAGGCTCCATCACACCTCCCAAATCTCCCAGCCAAAGGAAACAAGTCTTTTCCTTGGAGGAACCATGGCATAACAGCCAAGAACACTATCTGGGGCCTAGAGGTCATCTGGACTGTGACCCCATGTTTCAAGGGTCACCTCATGTTTCCAGAACCGAAGAGACCCTGGTCCCCAAAGAGCCAAGTTCTATGGGAATCATTTGTGATGACACAGACTCCCTGGATGCTGAAAGGTCTAGGACCTTGTGGTTCGTGGGGTACCCCTCACCACCTCCCCGTCCTGGGCTGACTCCTGGCTGCTTCTAGGTGAAGAAGTCAAGAACCCTCAGAAGGCCATCCCTGTGGGCATCGTTGCCTCCCTCCTGATTTGTTTCATCGCCTACTTTGGGGTGTCGGCTGCCCTCACGCTCATGATGCCGTACTTGTGCCTGGATAAGGACAGCCCCCTGCCTGATGCCTTCAAGCATGTGGGATGGGAAGGCGCCAAGTACGCAGTGGCCGTCGGCTCCCTCTGTGCTCTGTCTACCAGGTGAGGATTCTCAGGTGTCACATGCGGAGGGCTATGTAAAGATGGACATGCAGATTTGCCGTTAAAATTACTTTTTTTCCCCTGGAAATGGAGCCCCAACCCTGCTTCTGTGGTTTCTCCCTTGTTGTTGCGATTATTCACCCAAGAATCAATTATGTTATTGATCTTCTTGAGGAAACCAAAGCTGTCATCTGTTCCCAATTTTGGCTCCTGAACACTGCATGGCCTCAGTTTAGCCGTCAAACAGAGGCATCCTTGAAAAAGAGAGTGAGTGCCTTTTAATGAGGGGCATTTTGCCCGTGCTGTTTCCTGCCAGCCTGTACAAACAGTAACTATATGGTAAATATTGATTTACTATAGATACATCTTCATGGATGTTGGGATTCTTTTATTTTCTGCTTGATTTATTTGGAAATAACTAAGAATAAATATAAAATTTCCCTTCCAGGAAAGTGATAACATAGGTTTGTACGGGTTTGTTAGGCCTCTCCCAATCTTACACTTACACATAATCAGAATAAGTGCTTTTTGGGGGGTTGGTTTATAGAATTCTGAGTCTTTAGCACGAGGCTCACAGCCTGGCTGGCACCAGTCCTTGGGGAGAGCCCAGGTCTCCTGCTCCCAGAGGTCAACGGGGCCTGGTTGGATCCTGGTGCCTTGATCCCTGGTAAGCTCATCTTATTGATACTTTTGCCTTTTCCTTCCATCTAGCCTTTTGGGTTCCATGTTTCCCATGCCGCGAGTTATCTATGCCATGGCTGAAGATGGACTGCTATTTAAATTTTTGGCCAAAATCAACGATAGGACAAAAACACCAATAATTGCTACGTTAGCCTCAGGTGCCATTGCTGGTAAGACCTGGAACTAATTTTACACGCAAACATTTCAACAGTTGAGTTATTATTATTCCCTAGGGAAATATCTTGAATTGCACTGTGGCCCGTGAGAAGTTTTAACTGGTCTTTTTAACATTTGGATTTTACCCTTAGGAACTGGTTTACTGCAAGGTAACTGACCTTTCGACGAAAGGCAGAGGCTAGTGCTACAGAGATGTGAATGGAAGTCCCAAATAATTAGAATTCTGTTATTATTGTACTCTCATTGGCCAGAGCTTAGGTCCATGGTCTCTCAAAGCCATTGGTCTTCTCTTTTCCTGAGTGTCCCTGAGTAGACTTCAGTGAGATGACATCTCCATGCATTTACAAGCCAAGTGAGACTTTGTGTTAATACTGTAAATTTAGTGTCCTTGTATCTTAGCTGGTGAATTCTCTGGGAAATGAGAGTCCCTTATGAAAAGTGTTGTATAAAATGTACTACCTCTTCCCCAGGAGATATTGAAAGTGCTGCTGCTGAAGCTATTTGCCTAAGTAATGGCAGGCCCAGAGGAGATTTATCTTACCAAATATGAGGTTCCTCACCAAGATGATGATTTTGACAGATAGCATCCATGGACTGAAGAGTGCTTTGAGTCTATGTAAACAGTCCCCAACCTTTTTGGCACCAGGGACTGGTTTTGTGGAAGACAGTTTTTCCACAGACTGGGAAGGGTGGGGATGGCTTCATAGCCTGCCACCAGATGCAGCTTAATTGTCACTTGCCAATCACTGATAGAGTTTTGATATGCGTTTGAAAGCAATTGATTTATTAGGGTCTCTGTGCAGCCACACCTCTCTGCTAATGATGATCTGTATTTGCAGCTGCTCCCCAGCACTAGCATCACCGCCTCAGCTCCACCTCAGATCATCAGGCATTAGAGTCTCATAAGGAGCGCGCAACCTAGATTCCTCGCGTGTGCAGTTCGCAGTAGGGTTCGCGCTCCTGTGAGAATCTAATGCTGCAGCTGATGTGACAGGAGGCAGAGCTCAGGCAGTAATGTGAATGATGGGGAGTGGCCATAAATACAGGTGAAGTTTTACTCGGCCTGCTGTTTGCCTCCTGCTGTGCAGCCCCATTCTTAACAGGGGTTGGGGACCCCTGGTCTGTGTGATATTCCAGGGGCCTTGGATTAAGGAGGAGGGGCAGAAACTTATTCACACATGCACTGCATACTGTCTGTTGTCTATGTTTCCTCCAGAGGCAGTGTGATCCCATTGGGTAGATGTGGAAGTGGAGGCACAGAGAGGTGAAGGCAGGAAGCACACCCATAGTGTAGAGCTGGGTCTTGTTTTGTTCCTAGTTTGTTTTTATGCCAAAGAGGCTCTTTACAGGATATGAGTAGAGCAGCAGTGTATTTCGTAAATTAGGACACATAACACCAGTCACAGTTTGTATCACACGGATTTATCAAATGGCCATTGGTAAGGCATTTGACTATCTTAAATGAATGAGTTATTAGTAGTATTTATGCCCTTGGCAAAGTGTGCTTCATTTTGTAGATTAATATTACATAATGAAAGAAGCCTAGTTTTTTATTATTTACCAAACTTTTCCTGTAATTCTACATTCTTGAGAGTGATGGCAGTGGTCACTGTATGTGAGAATATGACCGTATATTTAAGGGATTAAGGCATTGGAAACTGAAGATTTTTTTAAGTATTTACATGTCATTTGATCATATTAAAGACTGGCCTTAATTTCCTTTCTGTGCTGATGAGAGGAGATGAAACTATAATCATTAAAGTGACTACAAAGTACATTCACCAAACCAAGGATTTGCTCCTTCTTTTTATTTGGTGTGGGAGTGTAAAAAAAGTATTAGGTTTTCTGAAATCACCTCACATTGAAGAAATTTGTCTGGAGTTTTTCTGTGAGGAGGAATGCAGGCGTTTGTACATGTGTAGCTAGGCACTGCTCTAATTATCCAGAAGGTTTATCTGCTCTTAAATCCTATTATTTATTCACAATTTACATTTGTTTTAGCTGCAACAGGGGCGGATTTACAGGAGCTTGAGAAGTATTGGTGGAAAAGCACTAGTTTTGTGTTTATACTTTAGCTTGTCTCAATTGTGAATGATCTGAAAATACCCCAAAATAGACCTAGCAAAGTTATGGTTTGAATGGGAAGCAACCTGTGTACTCACCTAAATACATATACACACTCTCAAAAAGTACAAAGGATTTTAAAATAACCATGCATGTGTTACTTTTTTTTTTTTTTTAAGTGTGGTCATGGTGAACAACTGCGATTATTTGAAAGTAATGCTGACTTCCATGCTCAGCTGTCTGGGTCAAAAGCCTCATCCACCCTCATCCACCTCCTCATCACTGTTGCTGCTGACCGATTCATATATTTTGGATGATGTGCTAGATACTGTTCTTATCTCTTTAGTGGTAAATACCATGCTCTCAGTGAGTGCCAGGTGGATGACAGGTGGATGGATGGATGGATAGATGTACATGATTTGTCTCTGAGCCAGTATAATGGAGAGGAAGAAACACTGGACTCAGAGTCACAAGCACCTAGTTCAAATTCTCCCTACTAGCTATGTGACCTTAGGTGACTTTTCCAACCTATCTGAACTTCAGTTTCTCTGTCTGTAGTGTTGGGATAGGTTGCAAAGTTACCATCTTTTGAGGACTATATATGATTTAATCCTGACTTTTCTTCATTTAAGCATCTTTCTATGGAAAGGGTTGGGTGTGTGGGGGGTAAGAAAAAAACAACATCTTTTAAAAGCTCTGGATCACAGGTGGGTGGTGGTTCTGGGTGTCAGTATGTGTAGAGGACCATCCATGGATCCTGATGCTTTTCTCCCCAGCTGTGATGGCCTTTCTCTTTGACCTGAAGGACTTGGTGGACCTCATGTCCATTGGCACTCTCCTGGCTTACTCTTTGGTGGCTGCCTGTGTGTTGGTCTTACGGTACGTATGGCTTTTCTGGGCCCATGACAGAAATGCACGCGATTAATGCTAGCCTCGTAGCAGTTCAGATTAATGGTTTAGACAGTGTAAATTTTAGGTTGTTGGTAGCTCCTTTGGGAACTGGTCAGGAGAGGATGGGTTCTGGTGGTTGAGAACCTAGTTACAGAGAACATCCTTGCAAAGAGTCAGGGGTGGCCCCACCTCCCTCTATCTTGTGCCCTCATTTTTCTGGCTGGATGTTGGGAGAGTAAAGACAGGTTCTCAGCCCAACTGCTGAGCCTGGATCCTGGGATCAGATTTTTTGAAAACTTGGGTAATGTTTTCAGTGTGATCCAGGTTCTTGGGACAGAGGAGACTGGCCCTCGTAGAAACTGGGCGAATTCTATGCAACTTAGGTCACTGTAATGACTTTTGAACTCAGGTTGCTGTGATGCTTCACTGCACTGCTGCTGGAGGAAGCAGTCCTAGTATATAGTGTAGGAAGCAGTCCTAGTATATGGTGTAGGATGGCTAAGGCTGACATTCAGGAAGACTTCCCAGGTTCTAGCTGTTCTAGCCTTGAGTGCCCAGGCTAGCCCTGGGGTAGAGATAATTAAAGCAGCGCCAGGTTTAAGCTTGGTGTCTCAGGTACCTCCAAAGCATACCTTTGGGTGCCAATTTTATTTTGCTCTGGAAGGACAGCATTCTGCTTCCGAAGTCCAGAAATAGCTCGAGGTAGCATTTATCATGCTAACGTGTACTCGTGGAGACTCTTAGTGTTGGTCACCTGGCAAGGGCCTCTTTATTTCTTTTCAGGTATTTCCTACTTCTAATGCCACTGATCCCATTTTTAATGTGCTCAGCAGCTAATGTATATAACACCTGGATTAAGCCTTGGTAGTGACTGTGTAGAATTAGCTAAAACTAGTTTGCTAATGGACTGAATGGTGTTACATAAGTGAGTCAGTGAAAATATAGTGAATATCTTTATGCTTACTCTTAGACTATATGCAAAATAATTCATAAGGGATCCTATTTTTCAAGGATGGTGGAAAAGATTTGAGTTCTGTTCATTCTGAGTGAGAAGATAAGGAACCTCATTTAAAATGACTGCTCCATTTGCAGGTAGCTTGTGCCTTGGAAATCATGCCATAGGCTCGGTCTTTCACCCAGCTCTGTAGATTTATTTATACCAAGGCAGTTGGAGCTTTAAAATAAATTGATCCAATTAAGTCTCACAAACAGATTATCTCAAAGCCATCAGCCTGCAGACACATTTCTCCAGTTCTCTGCACCAAATAGGATCTTAATGTTATTGCTTTCTATTTCTGTCTGTGCATTTAGCTTCCTGCAGCCTAGCTTTGCTGGAAGTGGCCTAATATCTGAAGCTCCGAAGGGCCAGTGTTACTCTCAGAGCCAGAGAAACCATCTCAGGACATTTCTGTGGGCTGGTTTATGGCAGAGGTCAAGTTGTCTCAAAACAGAGACACCAAGGAAGGTGTTGCCAGGAGCAGGAGCAGAAGGCGAGGACCCAGTTCTCCTCCTGTGTTTACACTTTACCAGAGAAGGCATCATTCTGACCGTCTTTTCATATGATGCCTTATATCCTGGGCAAAGTACCTGTGAAGGCTTACTAAGAACTTGAATTATTGTGCATCCTTTTGCATGTCATGATGGTCACGTTTGTGTGCAGGTATCAACCAGAGCAACCTAACATGGTATACCAGATGGCCAGAACTGCCGAGGAGCTGGACCAAGTAGACCAGAATGAATTGGTGAGCACCAGCGATTCCCAAACAGGCTTTTTACCAGAAGCAGAAAGATTTTCTTTGAAAAATATACTTTCACCAAAAAACATGGAGCCCTCCAAATTCTCTGGGCTAATTGTGAACATTTCAACCAGCCTCATAGGTAAGAGCCTCCCCTTCCCTGTAATTTTTGTGGGGTCCTGTTTATTGGTACTTCATGGTTTCTTGTTGATGGGTATGGGTGTGGGTGTCTTCCTGCTGGATTGTGCTGTCAGTTATTCTGTCCTTATTGTAGGCAATGCCTACAGATATAGAGCCTCCCTCTCCACAGGTTTTGGGGAGAGCCATTTCTCAAGTATCTGTGGGAACTTGAGAAATGGCTGAGACATATCTCTCCCATTCTCTCTCTGTGTCTCTCAGCTATTCTTATCATCATCTTCTGCATCATTGCTGTGCTTGGAAAGAATGCTCTGACAAACAAGAAGTGGTGGGCAGTCTTTATACTCGTTGGTTCTGCCATCCTCTGCTTAGTGGTCACGGTCATCATCTGGAGACAGCCTGAGAGCAAGACCAAGCTCTCATTTAAGGTGAGCGACTCTGCCCGATAGGCCTGCAGGGGACCGCCTAGTGGGACAGACCCTGCATGGGCTCCCCTAAGCCTGAGTGTCTGGCAGGGAATGCTTGCTGGTTGGCCTCAGGAGAATAGGGGCCCATGGAGACACGGACAATACTTGCCGAGGACCTGAGTGTGGAGGAAGACACCCCTCCCTGCCCCTGGCTCCCAGGTGGCGTAGCGCACCTCATCCCCAGGGGCTTCTCACAAGTGTTGTCCGAGTGGATCACATATCATCACCAAGGCTTGGAGGTGACTAAGGCTTCTGTGCTTTTAGATTATACAAATAAGAAAGTAGTTCAGTCTTAGAGGTAAAGTGGAATTCTCCTTCTAGCCTCCCCTTTAGTGGAAAAACAGCATGAGCGGAAAATAGGAATAGAGCTTACTTTGGCAATTAGTTGCTCAAACCCAAGTTCCCACCTGTTAGAATTTGCCCACATATGGGTGTATTTGTGTTGGAGGGGGTTGGCAGCACAGGAGTGGGGTTGTCACTCATTTCCTCTTCCCCATATAAATATGGCAGTCCATACAAATCTCAGCGATCCACATGAATGTCAGGTACTACATGATGTTTTCTAGGTAGTTTTACTAAATGATTCAAATAGGCACCAGCTCTGTGTTCTTCACTCTGTCAGAACTGACACATCCGCCTTGTGTTTTGCAGGTGCCCTTACTGCCAGTCCTTCCTGTCCTGAGCATCTTTGTGAACATCTATCTCATGATGCAACTGGACCAAGGCACGTGGGTCCGGTTTGCAGTATGGATGCTGATAGGTAGGTCAGTTCATTGGTTCCACCGTGACCAACATGTCCCATACTCCAGTGTCTCCTGAGGCTTTCCACCCCTGCTGCCTACTCATGTCCCTGCTCCTTGGCTGGATGGCTAATGTCATCGAGCCTCCCTCAGTTCAGATTTCAAAACACAGTGGAAACATAGGTAGTCAGCAGTTTTTCCTCAAACAACAAGGAGTTCCTGGTAGGTTGTGGGTCCTTTCCCCATTTCAGGTACTCTGTGTTTTAGTAGCCTCTTGCCTGACCTAGTTATGTCTAGTTACTGAGAAAAAGCTTGAGGTTAATCAGAACAAATCTATGGGTCTGCCATCGATAAAGCATCAATCCAGCTCCCCCCCAGTAGGAAAGCTGGGCCCTTACCTTTCCACATGGGCTGTAGGCACGGGCGGGCCTTCAGAGGCTTGGGTGTCACCATGTGGATGATGATCCTGTTCTGGGCCTGACCATGGCCTAGTCTCTCTCTGGGCCTCTAACTCTGGGGGACTGCAGGAAATTGATTCAGTTTTCTTCCTTAATGTCTAGGCTGAGTGCTGAGGCAGGGGGACTGGCTTTGACCTATGTCCTTCAGTATCCATGAGAAGAGCAGTAATCTCTGGACCATGGTTCTGCCAAACCTTTCAGTCCTGGATTGCCACACTTTGGGGTAGACGGCTATAGCTGCACCATCTCTAAGGGGTATTTTGCTACCGCATTCTCTGCAGATCCCTCACTTGCCTTGAAGTCTGTGAGGCTGGACAGGCCACTCCTGTAGAGCCTTTTTGTGAGAGACCTGGCTCAGTCTGCATTTAGCCCACTGTGCCCACTCCTTGAGACTACAGGGCTAGGTGCTCACTTCCTGCCAGAGGTACAGGGTGCCTGCTTCTGAGCATCCCTGGTATAAGCTTCTGGCTTCCGGGCATTAGCTGCTTTTTTTACTTTCCGTAGCTGAGTCCTTCCTTTAGGGCCTGCTCTCCTTAATGTTACCAGCATAAGGGTGGCCATGGGGGCCACATGGATTACAGTCACAGGATGGGTCTGGACCCAACCACAGACCTTTGGCATGCCCAGCACTGGATTGGACTGGATTCCTATGATACATACATTCCCAGGTGACCTGAATGCTTCCTGCACTGTGGCAGTCACACAAAGGAAACAGGCAGCCAGGACTGTGGAGACAGCACAGAAACCCAGGGCAACCCAGTGGCCGCTGGAATCCCACCATGGCAGGGAACAGCACAGCTGTGCAGCTTCTGCAGTGTCTTTCCTGGCTCCTTCCAGCAGCCACACGCCCCCCAGCCAGCTGGTCAGTGGATGAAGCTGAGGGACTAATGCCCCTTTCAGGGACCTCCCACTGAGCTGTTCCCTCTGCTGGGGAGCTTTCCTGCAGTGAGGCTTTCCAGTTGGGCACCTCTGCTGGCCCTGTTTGAAGAGTCCTGTTGTTTCTCCAAGTGTAGAAAGGCTAGGTGCAGGCAGTGTGGCAAGGTTTACTCTGCCCGGGGCTGCTCTGCCTGATTCCCTAGAACCCTAACTCCAACCCCAACACTGCTCATTGTGCTCTGCCCTTGGCCTGCAGGTTTTGCCATCTACTTCGGCTATGGACTGTGGCACAGTGAGGAAGCATCCCTAGCCACTGGCCAAGCAAGGACTCCTGATGGCAATTTGGACCACTGCAAGTGACACACAGCCCTGTCCCCCAGAGGTGGCAGCAGCCCTGAGGGATGCTCACAGGGGACCCAGAAGCACCTCACTGTCTCCACCAGTGCAACAGGACCCACCGACAACCACCAGGCCCCCAAGCAGTGGAAGGTTCACTACCGAGACTGCAGCCTCAGTCCGCAGCACATGGGGCCTGCCCAGTCTTGCTCTATGGCAGGCTCAGCCAGCCCTGGTCACCTCTGACAGCTCCCTGGCCAGGGCCACTTGGCTGTGGCTGGCCACTACGCCTCAACTTCCCTCTTCACAAAGAAAACGGCTCCTCTCTTGCTGTGCTGCCATGGCCCCAGGCAGAATGGAGGTCACCAGGGCTCTGTTGCCAGGCACCGTTCTGGAGTTGGACATGTACCTACTCCAGATTCACAGTGGCCATCTCCCTGCTCAGCCCCAGACAGCCGGCCATAAATGCAAGATGCGTACCACAAAATAGTACATCCCCACAGGATCACCCCAGAGCCAAAGGCTAGATGTTTACTCAAACAGGAAAAACAAGACTAGTTTCCTTCTCCTGTCCCTGCTCTCCAAGTAGCTTCCACAAGGGGCCTTAGGACTGTAACCCCTTCTCCACTTCCCCTTCATTCTGCTCTGCCGCCTTGACAGACCCCCGCCCACTCCACTGCAGGAGGGCCACTGTGGGAATGAGGCTTGGGCTCCGTCTCCATTCCAGGGCACCTCCTTCAACCACATTCCCTCCGGCCAGGCCTGTTCCTGCTGCTCTGGCATCTCTCATCACTGGCTGTGTGTCCTGAGTAACTGGAACATGACACTGTTTGTGTATGATCAGCCTCAAATTAGCAGAGCTCAAAACACCTTTTCTGTGGGTCTCTGCCATTCACTAAATCCTGCCCTCTGATGCTTTTGGGTCAATGTCTGGGGTCTTGTAAGGTTCCCAGGACAGGTATCTGTTCTGAGGTGATGGTGACCAGTTGTCCCAGCCACTTGTGACTCCTACCATGATCTGTTTGACCCCTCTCTTAAGTGTGATCAAATTGACTCCTCCTGTTAGTTTCTGTGAATCACTCCAACAAATATGTTGGTGCTTTATGTTAACTTGGAAAATGGCCAAATAATTACTCTGTGCCATTGGCATGTTGTTCAGAGTGTGAGACCCACACATGGGACATTTGAGGTTGTATTGCTGTTCCTCTCGTATGTATCCAAACGTACCGGTTTGTATACAAGTTTGTAACTCTGCCTGACGCCATGTACCCATAAGTCTCTCTACATAGCACACTCCATGCCCTGCCCCAAAACCCCTGTGGTGCTCTCAGATGGAAGCCAGAGGGAACAGTAACGCTAGTCGAGTCCTCCTCCAGTCAGAGTATGATTCAGGAGACAGAAGGTTCCATGCTGATGGAAGCTGAGGGAGACGGGGCATTTTGGACACCACAGACTTTCAAGCTTAATTTCCCATTTCTTACCTGCTCCCACCCCTGCCCCTCAGCTTTTGCACAAATCTGGTAGAAAGACGCCTGGTAAATTGACAGCGCCTGTCTTTACTCTGCCCCTGAAGGTTCCTGGAGGAAAATTTAAGAATTTGTAAAATAGCCAAATGGCTGGGTCCACCAGTGGAGGGCAGGCAGCAGGCAGCCTAAGGCTGAGCCATTGTTCAGACCACAGATGGAGGATCCCAAGAGTTCGAAGCTTGGTTTTCCAAAGAAAGATATTTCAATATATGTAGGTCAGTGCTGTAAACTATTTTGATAAGTATTAACTTATTTTGCTTGGGTTTGGGTTGTCTGCTGTCTTTGGGGCCTGTTAGCTGTTTGCTCAATTTGTCTGGTATTTTTCCACATAAGCAAAAAACTGGAGGGAGACTAAGAGAATTTTTTTTTTTTTTACCTTAATTTCCCTTCTGGCTGAAATTTCTGTCCAATACAGTGCCCAAAAGACTGACTATAGCTGACCTTTTCACTAACAAAGTCCAGTCTTCCCCATACCGAAAAAGGTGCGTTTCCCCTGCACTGTCTCATGAATGAGACCCTCCCAACACGCACCTCCCCTGCTTCCTCAGCCCAGAGCCAGAGGTGCTCACAGAAGGCGTGCAGCTTAGTCTAAGGAAAAGCCCCTGCGCCCTCCCATCAGAGCAAGGGCTCCTGAGGGTGACTCGGACACAGTGCACATGTCCCTGTGCTCCTGTTTAGGGCAGTTTGTCCTCTGTGTATGAGGGCCATGCTGTAGGGAGGGTGTGGGGGTTCACCTCTCAATGCACATACACTTCTTATCACACCCCTCATTACTGTCCCTGAAATACACACACACAAGCAAAAAGAAAACCCACCAAAAGTGCCCCTACCCCCCACCAAACAAGAACAGGATTGTCATTTTCATGGCTAAGCCAGTACTTTCCTACATAGTCAGAAATTACACACATCTAGAGATACAGCCTTTGGGGATATTGTGTCTACTCATCTTTGCCCCAGCCCCAAATGCTCAGGATGGACAGACCCATTGTGATGAGTAAACGCCCCTCCCTTCCTGTCCAAAATCCTGCTGACATGATTTTATGACTTCACTCCCCAAAACAGCATTGGAGCCCCAGGACCTCAAAGAGGGAGAATGAAGGAGGTTTCCAAGGAAATAGCCAGGCCCCTAGGGACCTTCTAAGAGGGGGACCCTTGGCCAGTGCATGTGCCCTGCCCCACCCCACCTCACCTGCTCACACCCTCTCAGCCGGATTTTGGGCTGAATTTGTTTTTCCAGACCAAGAGGGAGTAGTGATACAGCCATCTTTTCCAAGCTGTTTGGGAAGGACTGCTGAATTTAGGCTGTAGTCAGAACTCACATCTCCCTGACCTTTGGTTTTGTTCCGTTGAGACCATCAGGCAATCAGCCACCTGGCCCCATGTGCTGATGGGTGGTTTGGACACCACAGTCTGCCTCCCAAGGCCCAACACACTCCTCTGTACCTGTGGCATGGCGTAGATTCACACCTGGGTGAGGCACCCGGCCCTGCTTGACCCTTGGCCACTGCATTTGTTGTGCTGCGTGCATGGGGATGGGAAGGTGGGTTCTGCCAGGTCTTCTCCCCTCCGCCCCCACCACTAAGCAGACATTCTGAATTGACTGGGTTTTGCTCTCCCAAATAGGATTGCCTAACATTGGAGACAGAATTATGAGATCAGGGTAGGAGGCTGGGTTCCTTGGGTGAGTGGACACACCTCACAGGGGCCCTACCCACATGGTAGGTGAGCTCACTAACATTCTGGGCACCTCTGCCTGGCTCTGTTCCAAAACCTGTCTTTTCTGATTTGCATGCCCTACTATTACACATCTAGTAAGAGCCATCATGGTGACAGGCCTCATGACTGGTGTGTTCCAGGATGGATGGAGAGGCATGTTTGTGGGCACATCCACACTGCTGGGCGTAGGTATGTCACACGTGTGTGTGGAACTGTTAGTGTCTGGTGGAACTAAATATATGTTACGTGTTATTGTTATGTGTAATTTAAAATATATCTATTTGCCATCATAATGAGTATTGTATGTAAGGCTTCTTGGGGAGAGTGAGATTGTGCATTTTGTCGGACTCTCTTGGACTTTTTTTTTAATGAAATCTTTATTGATCCAGTGGTGTAAGAAACTACACTCTTTATTCCATCATCGTCGTTATGACGCCTGATGGAGTTTTTAGGTTAAAGAAAAAAATGTCGACTAACTTTCATCTTCGTCACTGTAGTTGAGTCTTTGTGCCCGTTGCTTTGTTGAGGTTGTGCTCTCTTTCAATGGGACGAGGGCTGGCCAAGGGTCTCAGGGCACAGTTATCAAGGAGCGATCCTGGATCATTCTCTAGGTTTTGAGCTGCTGGCTGGAAGACCCGCGTGAGATGGACGACCTTGGCTGTAAAGTCCAGGGGATTTTCTCAGGGTGTGAGAGTGTCCAGCAGGCTCAGGAAGCAGGGCTCAGAAGATGCACTCGGACTTTGTTAATTTATTAACAAGGTATATATGATCTTGTGTTTCTTGATGACAGACTTTTTAATTTTGGGACTTATTTTCCCATTTGAGAAGTTATAATATATATATTTAAAATAAGTTTCCTGCTTAAGTTGTGCCTTTCAGCATTAGTGGGTGTGAGGAGCACCAAGGGGCATGACCCCTGTGAGGGTTGGTTTATTACCAAACCCGAAGATCTGTAGTTTCTCGGGTAAACCTTTTCTTCTACTGAACATGGAGCCATTGTTAAATGAATTGTGTTTTTTATTATGTAAATTGTAAAATATTTTTTGCTTGTCTGATGCTCTATTTTTCTAATAGTTTTCTTATAGTTTCTTACAATTGTGATACTAGATTTAGATTTTGACACTAACTACAAATCAAATTGGTATCTGCTGTTCCCCCTCGTTTTTATTTTATTTTAAGGAAGAGCATAGATGTTGTCCATCGCCTTTAAAAAATGTGAAACTCTGTATTCAATTTTGCTGACAACACTGTATGTCAGCAACTTCCTACCATACTTTATGTTGTACAACCAAACTATTCCGTGGTATATAATCTCATGCTTCCACAAATTCCAATAAATTCTTTCTGTGGCTTCAATGTACATGGTATTCATTTCAAAAATTCTCTTGGCTTGGTCCCTGGGAGTGGCAGTGCCCCACAGAGAGTACCAGATCCCACCCAGCTTCCTTAGAATCTTCCTGCCTCCCTGCAGGCAGGTGCTGTATTGCCTCTTCAGTCATTTGGAAACCCTTATTCCAACAGTTTAGCAGGAGAACCCACAACCAGGGAAGCCCTTGAGCCCTCCTTTAGGATCCTCTGCTGCTCTCTCCCACCTCTCATTTTCCAGACTTGGCTTGGGTTTGGGCCCCAGAAGTCTCATTTGCTGATGGACTTGGGTGGGGTGCAGTAAAACCCATCACACCAGAATATTCCTCTACGGCCACCATTCCATAGGGCGGATGGATGCCTGCTGGGCAGGGAAGATTGTAGCAGTTCTTAAATTTGATCTTTCTGTCCCCATTCCCCCTTGAGAAAGGAGTATTTTCTTGTAAGGAAGGTAAATTCAAATGGGCCTTAGTTCTCAGACACTGACACAGATAATGAGTGATTCCGTGATCAAGCAGGATCTGTTGCCTGAAAGATAAGGCCTAATCTGTGTCCTCTTAGCTGATAACAGTGCTGGAGGGGACACCCAGGATTAGAAGGTCAGAGAGCTGCTGCTGGATCTGGCGTCAGCGGCTTGTCATGGGGAATAGAATAATGACGACTAGGATTCTCACACGGTCACCAAACTGTAAACTAGACCACAGACCCTGAAGGTGTTTCCAGAAGTGTCCTCAACACGTCCCCAGGGTGTGCAGTGTCTGGGGACACGAGGAGGCTGGGGTCCATTGCGTCCCTCAGCCGGCTCCACCAGGGCAACTACTCGGTTAGAGGTGGCCAGTGAGCCCTGGCATTGGCCTTCAAAACTGGACGGCGTCACAAGTGTGTTCCAGAGAGCCCAGGACCACGATGGGGCAGAGGGTGCGCACATTCGCCAAGTACCAGCCTGGGCTGAGCGGGGGCGGGGGGCGGAGCCTGTTTGCGGAGCCTGTTTGCGGAGCCTGTTTGCGGAGCCTGTTTCCGGAGCGCCACACTGCTACCTGGTGGCCAGCAGGCAGCCGCCGAGTCACTCCGCAGATTTTCAGCCCTCTCTCAGGAAAGACACCCTGAGCCCTAGAAGCCATCCAGTCTGCTGACCTGAAGGGGAGTCACTTGGAGCACCTTCTCCCTGCACGGTTAGGTCATGATACACTTCTGGTAAATCCAGGGCTGCACCATCAGCTTGGCATTCGCAGTAACGAGAAATCCCATGTAGGCTCTTCACGAGGTGACAGAGGGGAACTGTGGCCACTTTGCAAACCCTCCGTTCCAGCCCAGCTTGGCTCATCCCCAGAGCTGGGCAGGGCTGGAAGACCTGCTGGGGGTAACATTCATTGCCAGCCCCTATTCAAAGATAACAGTTTCGTTAGAGCTTATCAAGCTTGTCCACCAACTTATCAACACAGTCATTGAAAAAATGCACTGTTAGAAAAGGATTGTGGACCAAAACAGGCAGTTCCTTGGCTAATGAGGGGAGCCCTTTAGTTTGCAGCTCAGTGTGCTCAGCACCTCATCCCAGGGGAATCTGGCTCATTTGGGGAAGGGAGAAGCTGCACAGGTTTACACTTTTCCATGGATGATTTAAAATTTTACTCCTGCCCTGATCTGTGTAGCTCAGTTGGTTGGGCATTGCTCCGAGAAGCAAGAAATGAAAGACAGCCAGTTGATTCCCAGGCAGAACATATGCGTGGGATGCAGGTTGAGTTCTGGGGGGTGGGAGGGAGCATCCAAGAGACAACCAATTTATGTTTCTCTCTCACATCGATGTTTCTCTCCCTCTCTTATTCCCTCCCTTACCCTCTCTCTAAAAATAAATATATAATTAAAAATTGTTTTACTTCTTAAAACAATGCAGTTACTTGTTGAGTGCCTACTCAGGTACCAGCTGTGTACAGACACGGGAAACGGGATGCGAGATGCCCTTTCTGCATGAATCTGGGTTCAGGGAAGATGGAAGCCTCCACACACAGAGTAGCAGCTGTGCCCAGCGGCCTGCTGGTAGTCTGTGCAGTGGGTGCCCTGGCATGCTGCACCCACGCAGGGTCCTCAGTCACATGTGGCAGGGTGACCCCAGCTTATAGCTGCATAGCATCCCATTCCCCACACGGCACCTGTGCTGGAAAAGCCTTGCAGACTTGGTGAGCTGGGCCAGTTAGCCCTGGGGTGGATGTAGGGGGGAGAGGGAAGAAGAGAGCTGGGTTGGCAGATATGCCAGGGGGTTTGTTTTTTGTTTTGTTGTGGTTCAAAATATACTAAGGAACAAAATAGAAACAGAAGCACAGATACATGGAAGAGACTGACAGCTGTCAGAGGGAAAGCACAGAGGAGCTGGATGAAAGGAGGTAAGAGATTATCCAAAAAATATATACCATATTTTGCCATGTATAACGCACACTTTTTTGCCCAAATTTTTGAGGGAAAAATATACATGGGTAGTGCTAACTCTGTATCTATACAAATGTATTTAATTCTTTTATTTATGCTTATATGTTAAAAGTGTAACTCTAGAAAGTAGTAACAATATCCATATGCAAAATAATACCTTGAATATGATAATAGGTTTTGTTTTTAAATATAAATAAAAGTGAATTAGAAAATTGAAATATATTTTTTCATGAAAGTTTGGCCCAAAAACATGGGTGTGTGTTATGCATGGGAGTGCATTGTACATGGCAAAATACAGTATATGGTCTGTCCAGAAAAAGTCCAGCCATTGTTAATATAACGAGAATGGTTTGCAACACATTGATGTAACCTGGAGGCCAAGGGGACTGGACTGGACTGTGTATGCAAGAACAATGATGACTTCACTGTACTAGTCAGCGGGGGAGGTAAACACTGTTGAGTGAGCAAGTGTACTGTGTGACCGTCACATTCAAAATGACTGAGTGAGTAGAGCTACAAATCTGCATCCAATTTTGCATTAAGCTTGAACATTCTTCCTTGGAAACTATTTGGATGATTCCAAAGACTTCAGCAATGGGCAACTGGTGATTGACAGCTTCATCATGACAATGCATCCACTCATGCATCATATCTCTTGCAGTCTTTTGGCGAAACGTCCAATCACCCAGGTGACTCAGCCCCCCTACAGCCCACATTTGTGTCCTGTGATTTCTGGCATTTCCCAAAACTGAAATCACCTTTGAAAGGGAAGAGATTTCAGACCATCGATGAGATTCAGGAAAATACAATGGGGCAGCTGATGGTGACTGGGAGAATTGTGTGAGGTTCCAAGGTACCTACTTTGAAGTGGATGGAGGCATCATTGTCCCATGTACAATGTTTCTTGTATTTTGTATCTTCTTCAATAAACATCTCTATTTTTCATAATGTGTGGATAGATACTTTCTGGACAGACCTCCATAACACACAGACACAGACAACAGTGTGGTGATAGCCAGAGGAGAAAAAGGGTGGGGGTAGGTGAAAGGCAACAGAGATGGGCGGAATGGGAACAGAAAGAGACTTTACTTGGGGTGATGGGTGCATGGTGCAGTGTGCAGATGATGTTTTATTGAGTTGTACACTTGAAACTTGAATGGTGTAAACCAATGTAACCCCAATGAATTCAACTTTTAAAAAAGAGTTTTAAGAGAAGCAAACTTAAAAGTGATTTAATTCCCCTTGTCTTAACAACCAGGACAGCATACCAGCCTTTGGGGGTGTTTTTTGTTGTTGTTGTTGTTGTTGTTGTTTTGGGGGTTTTTTGTATGTATTTAAGCATTTGACCCAAACTCTCTAGTGGACAGAACCCTGATTCTTGCTAATTGGGTACAGTCCCAGAGATCTGGCTTGATGCCTATACTTGGAGGCAGCACCAGCTGTGCAAACTGGTAAGAAGTACAGGCACATCTCATTTTCCATGTGCTTTGATTTACTGTGCCTCACAGATGTTGCATTTTTTTACAAATTGAAGGCAAAACCCTCCACCAGTTAAAAGACCACAACTTGCTTTACTGCGATATTTGCTTAATTGTGGTCTGGAAATGAACCTGCAATATCTCTTAGGTATGCCTGTACCCATTTCTGGGCTTCTACCAGAGTGAGCATCACTCCTTCCTGCTGAGATGACCCAAGTCCCGCATGCAGGGAGAGTGGGCTGAGCTAGGTTCCTTTGCAGCGATGGTTCACAGAGGAGGTGATGGAGTTGTTGACTTTGGAAGTCCCTCTGCCTGCTGCAAACTGTCTGTGGGAGCAGACAGCTCTCTGCAGAGAGGAAGAAGCAGCTCTCATGTTGCTTCTTACACATGCCAGTGACTGTGTCTCCCATCTGCTCCTCTGTTCAGTGAAGGCGAGAACTCACGTGTGGGGGAAAGGAAATGGAAGACGGTTATTATAGAAGTGGAGGGCACAAGACACCCCAAAACACTAATAGGCTGGGACATGTTGGCAAGGGAATCATTAATAAATAGGTAGGCACCATCAGCAGAGATCCTGTGGTCCTCGCAGGTCTGGAAGTGACTTGAGGTGATTTGTTCAGCAGTTGTTCAGGAAAACAGACTTGCTGCAGTCTCCCTAAAGTCACTGCCACTCCTGTATGCCCCACAAAACCGCCCCAGGGAACTGGACAGCTAGGGATCTCCCTTGTGACCCTAAGCAGGGGTAGGCTGACCAAACTGGCTGCAACACAACCTGAAGCCAGGAGGGAGAGAGCAAGTGCTTTCACGTTGAGCAGGTGTGCTGGCTGCACGTGGAGTGTTGTAGGAAGAGCCTCAGAGCTGTTCAAGGTCCTGTGTTGTCCTGTTGGCATGAGAAAACCTTCCAGGTTGTCCGTGCATGGTAAGGAACTGCTGTGACCGAGGCAACCACACCAGGGCACCCCCCTTGCCTCTCGTGAGAGAGCTCTGTGGCCACCCAGGCAGGAACTGATGGGACTTAGGACAGATCGAGCTTTCACTGGGGGTAGAAACGGACCTCCATCTAGGTCTGAATTTGAACTTGATGGTGAAAGGATTGTTCTCAATCTCTTGTGTCCTTTTCCCATGGACTCCAGCCCACCCAGCCTACTGAAGACAGCCGCGCAGAGCAGAGTCACTGAGCTCCCCAAAGTTAGGGCTGGGCTGCTGAGGATCCTGGGCTGCAAATATAGGTGTGGAGACTTCAGACCTGCTGAGTCAGGGCCAGGGGCCTGGACACTCGTGACTGACCCTGGCAAACAGAAAATAAACCCAGCCTGCCAAATGCTTCCCTGGCTTCCCTGCCTCAGCTCCCACCCTAAATTTCCTGAAGCCTGAGCCAGCCAGGCTATGTTACATGAAACGCATGTCACAGGAGCTCCTTCAAATTGATTTTAATATGTTTCAAACACAAATATGCAACACAGGAAGTGTAAGGGCCAGATAAGAAATGTGTGACCCCATTCAAACAATCACACTCAGTGTGCCAGCCGACCAGCCCTTCTCCCACTCTGACACCCAACCAGAATTCTGCCCCAGCTTTGGGGACTAGGGGTGGGGAAGAGCACCAACTCAGCTCTCAAATGGCAAGAAAAGGTTGGTGAGGTTTAGTGGGTTTGTCTGAGGCAGGCGGGGGGCTGCAGCATCTGTACGTAGAAACAGCTCCATCCTGGGAGGTGGACGACAGGACTTCCATGTTGAGAGAGGTCCAAGTCCTAACGACGTGGGGGTGGAGTGGCGAAAAGGGGCACAACAGCTGCCATGCCTCGTGTTCCAGGATAAGAGCCAGACAAGGTGGGTGTCCATGACGAAGGGATGAAGCCATGGCAATGTAGAAATAAGCACAAGTGCCCAAGGTGAGAGCTGGTCAGGGCAGAGTTCCAGTCCACCTGGCAAGGGATTACTTAGTGCCACAATCACTGCACCTTTGACCGCACTAGGCTAACATTCTGTAGCACATCCTAACAGAACACTGGAATCTGTATTGCTGTGTAACTGCATTTAGAAGATGCTCGTATGGACACAGTTCCTAAGTTGGAGAGCTGAGCTACCACTGAACCTGTGTTTGCAGGTGGTGCCACTAAAAGAAGATGTAACTGTGTACTTTGTCAATGTGGCATGACCTACTTTAATGGAATGCCCAACTCAATATCATAGCATCATGCAGAGCACAAAATGCAAAGAGAGATGTTTCTTCAATGGCTACCTACTGTGTATGTCCCCATGGGATGGGAAAAGTCGCTTGGAGGTTTCCTAGAAATGACATGGACCTGAGGTCAGGAAGCCCAACCTTAACTCAGGCAGGGAACACAGACCATGTCTGTCTTCACGCCAGCCCAGCAGGCAGGGCCTTGGATGGGCCAACCCTTTCCTTCCGTGGACTGTCTCTTCCCCACCATGGATGTCCCTGCATAAGTCTACTTGCCTTGGTCATGCTCAAAGATAGCCCTGTGCTCACATCAATTTCCAGGGGCCTTAGGGAGGAAAGTACAGGGTCTCTGTCACAAACAGCAAACAAAGGCATCATCATCATCACCTTATCAACTGTTAAAACTACTTCTCTTTTGGATGTCATGCTCCTAATCTTCCATAGCACTACAGGAACACCTTTCACATTCTAATTCTATCATTTCAGAGACAGATGCCAGTCCAGTAGCCAGTGACCACTGGCTGGGTGTTTCAATGGGCTCTTCTGGTGGAAGAACCTCCTGGGTCTAAGATCGGACCACTGTCAGCTGTGGCATTGCTCAATGATCCTGCAGAAAATACACCTGGGTTCCTGGGAGGTCACGTGATGGTCTAGCACAGTGTGGAACTTGTCCCCCAGGATGGAAGAACTGCTTTTTTGGAAGCCCCTGCTAGAACCCCTGAGCCATCTCAAGGTACAGTGATGGGCCTGAGTTATTGAACCAAACTGAAGGGGAGGTGGCTGTGAAATGGGGGCCCAAAGGTCATATTGGTGGGTTGACCATTTGCAGCGTCAGATTGGAGCAAATCACATAGAATGCCAGAGCTTCCCTATTCTGTGCTTAGTCAAAGTATACACCCTTTCAATCTTTCTTGAGGCCAGAGGGCAGATGGTTTTGGTCAACTGCAAGGCCATCCTCACCCTCACTCCAGAAGGGCATGCTCTTCCATATTTCCCAAGGGTGCAACAGCTGAATGACAGATTCCAAGATGCCATTTGGGAAAAAAGCAAAACTTGTGTTTACAAGACTATAGATGATTTGCTGTCATGAATAACATTCAAAAAACTGCCAAACCCCACAGGGTTTCCCACTGCTCTCTCCCTTATCCACTCATGACAGGAGCATTAGTAATTAAAACGTGTGAATGGAATAATGGTGACTTCACATCATGTTGACTGAGAAGCTGATTGTGATTGTTCCAAAGGCAGTTACCATTCACAAGTCGCTGGTGTTTGTGTTAAATACAGTACCACTTGGTGGCAGGTTGAAAGGCGCTTCTGCTCTGTATCTTTTTTTTTTTCCTTTTTCTATTTTGGGTAGAAATATTCTTGGGAAGCTAGATAGAAATGCATTTTAATTTCCCAATTATTCTTAGGCACAAGTTAGAAAACTGCTGACCTTCACCAAAATATGTCAGCATTTCATGTTATAAAAAATGAAATTCAGAACCATCGCATGTGCAAATACGTACATCTGAGTATACACACACATTGGTGCAGTACACAATGATTATTCAGTGTAGATTTCAAACTGAGCTATTTGTCACTAACCTGAAATTCTGCAGTGAAATTCATCATTCAAGAACAGTGAGCATTTCTTTCTTTTGGGTCTAACTACGGTCAAATGTTTGCACATTGGACAATACCGTGAATGCTTCCCTAAATGTGAATACCAGGGCAGTCTCACACCAGGATCAGAAGAAGAGACTCCGTGAGGGTGCCGCTCTGCAGCTACTGAGCATGCGCGCAGGGCTTGCTACTGGGGGCGCCGGTCAAGACCCCCTTCAGTTGGAAGCGCAGGGTGCACGAGGAGTCGCAGCTCCGGAGGGTTGTGTGATGGCATCATCTCAGCGTCGTGCTGACTCTGGCAGGTGAGGAGGGCCCGGAGGAGGAGCTGCGGTAAACAGGAGATGTCGGGGAGAGCTTAACTGGGCTGGTTGGATCCCCAGTTTGGAGCTTCCAGAGCAGCTCTTCATTGGTCCGGCTCAACCTCTTCTTCTCCTGGGTCTCTTTCTCCACATACTCCTGGAGATTGGCGTTTTCCTCTGACAGCTGTCTGCATGGGGAGAAGACACCATCAAGTGGCTCATGCCAGAGTGCCTGAGCTTGAAATTTGCTAGACCAAGGATGCAGGGTAAAGGGAGAAGGTGGCCAACGCCTCCGGGGACAACGGGAATAAGTCTGGCCACCATCACACACAACCTTGGTGAACCATGGTTGCAGCTTGTCCTGCCAGCACATCCACTCCCAGAGCTTCCCTGCCAACACTGGATCTGCTCGCATCCCCCTTCCCCCATCAAGGAGGTACCAGCTGTCCAGTAGACAGAACAAAAGCTAGAGGCAAAGAGGGAAGGAAGGGAGAGGGAGTTGGTGCAGGAGGGCCGTGTGGGAAGCTTGGAGAGAGTGGTATTGACAGTAACGATAGCACAGGCGTGGAGACTGTCAGCTCTAAGAGACAGGAGCCAGAGACGGCTTCTTTGAATCCCAGCATCCAGCCTGGTGCCTGGCACGGGTCTCCCAGGGGCCCCTCAGCCCTCGTGGGCATATATAATCTCCAGCTGGCTGCTGAAGCTCCAAACCCTGTTTTATTGCTCACTGACAACAGAACGGGGTATCCCCACATTCTCCCTTGAAAGATGGGGGACCTCAGAACAGGGGACCAAGATGGAAACAATGCCACTCAGGAAGAGCTGCATTTGGCTACACAGCTTCTCTCTGACACGTTCCACCCCTGCTGTCCTCTGGTCAGGGCTAGCCCTTCGCTGCTCTGGCCAGGCTGCCCCAGGACAAGAGATCAGCACCCCAGGAAGACATGGGTCTGCATTGCTGAGCTAATAGAGTGCAGGGACAGCTCACATGGTGGTTCCCTTTTGCCTGGGAGCACCCAGCTGACCCCCATCTCCAAAATATTCTCCAAGAACAAAGCCATTCAGCAGCCAGCTGTGTCGGAGGCTCCTGCCACATGTTTTTGGACTGTCGGGGAAGCCACACAGCTCAGAGGAGTGAGGTAAGTTGGATGTTGGGACAAATACAGAGTCCTCAAGCTCAAGAGCAAGCCACTTTGTGGGTGACCTATGATTTGTAAGTTTAGATATCCAGGTCCACCTACCTCGTGACCATGGTATTCTGGTCAATCCTTGCTTTGAGATCTTCATTCTGCTGCTGGAGTACTTGGATCTTCTCCTCCAGGAGAATGTTCTTTTCTGCCTGTAAAGGGTGCAGTGTTAAGAGGTTCTCAGCAGGGCCATCTGATGAGAAGGAGACCAGTGCCTTTGGAGGATTATCAAGAAGAGTGTTTTGCAAACTACAGTGTGCAGTGCATTGGTGGGTTGTAAATCAGGCCAGAGGGAAGTGGCCAGCATTTTTAAAAAACAAAATAAAGCAGAAGAGAGAATACCAGAATACACTACATATAGTAAAAGGAAGTATTGTTATATATATTTTAGATAAACACTTCTATTTCACACATATTATACATATGTGTCTATGTATATACTGGAATCCTGTGTAGAATGTATTTTTTATAATTAGAGTCCCAGGCCCTTGCCATGGTCAGAGATAAGCCATAATCAGCACCAAGACCTAGTTTGGTTAATGGGTCCCCTGGTCCTTCCCAAAGGGTAACCTGTGTTGTATCACCCTCCTTGGCTGGACGTGCACACAGCCTATGACATTCTAAATTAGGAGAGATGGAAATATAATGTGCACACATTTTTTCCTTCCGAGGCTCTGGGCAGCCAGGAACACAAAGCACAAGACCAGTTTGGCACATTATCAGAAAACCACATCCAAGGCTGTTCTTGCCCTACAATTTATGCCATTCTCTCTGTCAGAGGGTCCCGCAGGGCCTGAGATGAATTTAAAAATAAATTATTGTTTGAAAAGAATGTGGCAAATTCACTATGAATGTAGTTGATCTTGAAAGAAAACTGTTACCTCTCCAAGAATAAGGGTTAGGAATCAGAACCGAAGGACTGGCCTCTGTCCCTGCTCTGCAGCAAGGCACTTCCACCCCAACCCTCCTCTGCTCCCAGGAAGTGAGAAGTGATTAGATAGGCTTTTATTTTGGGGGGGTCCGGATTGGTTTCTGGAATAAGTCACACATGCCTGCAGAATGCCTGGAGCGTGGCTAAAAACAGCCACATCAACCCCAAGGATTGTGGATGATCTCACACCTGGATGCAGATGGCCCAGCCAGGGTGAGGAGGTGGGGAAGCCCTGGGCTGCTGAGTCCTGCCAGGTGGCCACCATTAGCCAGGATGCCTGTAACAGACACTCACACCCAGGTCTACCCCCTCCCTACTGGTAAGCAGCAAGAGCAGCCAGAGATACCTGCAGAAAGGGACATGACAACTGAATGCAACACATGGTCCTCCATCAGCTCCTGTTTTGCATACACCAGCTTCAAGGACATTTCAGAGACAAATGGAGAACTTTAAGGGTTAGACCAGACAATCAATTATTGAGATGGTGCTTACGAGAAGTAACCAATTGATATTTCTCTCTCAGATCCATGTTTCTCTCTCTCTCTCTCTGTTCCTCTCTCTCTAAAAATCAATGAACATACCCTAGGGTAAGGATTTAAAAAATTACTGAGATAGTAAATTAAAGCATTTCTAACTGAATGAAAATGGAACACAAAACACTCATATGTGTGTAGGGGATGTCTGGGGTATGTATACATGTATAGAAAAAAGCTCTGGAAACTGTCAACAGTGATAGATATATATTTTAATTTTCTTATTTTTGTTCACCTTATCATTGCCTATAATGCACACATTTTCCTCTTATAATATGAAAAGTTTGTTGTACATATAACAATAAAGAAAGGGAAAAAACCATAATCTGTCTGAGAGCTTTGGGCCATCCTGATGTGTCAGGATGGTATCGCCTTGGAAACAGGCTTCTCTGCTACTAACTTTGGACAACTCTCTCCACCTCCATCCTGGCATGACCACTGCAGGTAGGGGAGTGAACTTTGGGGCGCTCCATTCCACCAAAGGGGTGGCTTTGCTGGTTCTGTGGGATCCCAGCTGACAGGTGAGGTGGAGTGCCAAGACAGTGCTGGGCCGGGGCTCCTGCCTGGGCTTGGCCACTGACAGGCTCTCGGTGAGATGCCCTGTCCCCAGGCCTCCACCTCCATCCTGTGAAAGGAGGTTCCTGATGGCACTTCCTGAACAGCATTGCTGTCGGAGTTAATGAACAAATGCACGAAAAGTGCTCTGCGTGGTATCTGGCACATGCCAGTGGTGCTTACCTATGCTGGCCCATCATATGTGCCCCCGGGGAGGAGTGAGGGAACAGCACTTCGGAGCGATGGGTCAGGGATGGAGGCAGGCAATCCTGAGGACTGCAGAGGTATACAATGGGGCTACCTCTGACATTCCTCATTGGAATTCCTTGGCTTCCTAAGAAAGGTCTTGAAGCTCATTGATGGAATTTTTGACTCAGGTTAAGGACTCACGTCCTGAAAGGTGTCAATGTTGACATTAATGACAACACTGAGGTTATTGGGCTCTCTCCAGGAAACAGACTAACTCACCAGCTTTTCCAGCTCAATGATCTTCTTTTCCTGCTGGTGTATTTGCTGATTCTTCATCTCTAAGACCTGCTTCAGACTCTTCATGTCTTCTTCCAAGTGTTGATAGGGAGCCAGTGCTACCTACAGGGGCAGAGAGCAACAAGCTAGTTACAGGGTCTTGGCAAAGGCCAGTGTTCATCAAGTTCATGGGTTTCACTAAAGCTAGTTGATTTTAACAAGCTGCCCAGTAGACACCGGAGCATGACAGAGAGAGAGAGAGAGAGAGAGAGAGAGAGAGAGAGAGAGAGAGAGAGAGAACATTAGCTCACACATCTTTCCTGGTAATATGCCCCCAAGTTCCCTATTAGGAATGCTACTAAAAATCTAACTCCCTGGGGAAAAAAAGAGAGGAAGCCATCACCCCTGAAGAGCCCAGATGCTAGAATGGCTGGATACTAGCAGCCCATCCCCAAAAGGGAACTCGTGAGGTAAAAGGAGTAAATTCAACATTGGCTTTTGATGGTCACACAGACCACTGTATTCAGCAGACAGGTGGAGATTTCTAGGTCCCACCTGTGCCCATGGAGAACCCCTACCCCAGTATAGGAAATTAAAAAAATGGTTTAAAAAGCAGAAAAGACATTTCAGAAAAGGAAATGTTAGATAGAGCAAGGTTGCCAGATGTAAATATATATATATATGTAATATATATAATACATGTAATGATATATAATTACATTGTTTCAATTTCAGATAAACGACTTTTATTTTGGTTTAAATATCGAAGGGGACATATTTAAATGAAAAGAATTCACTTATCTGTAATTCGGATTTAACTAGTGTGATGTGTTTTATATGGCAACCCTACAGAAGAGGGAAGGAATTTTGCTGACTTCTGGAAAAAACCCCTCAGCCCCCTGACTCGGGCTTCAGTGGAGCCTCCTGGTCCAGCCTCACGGAAGCTGGGCGAGGCAGGTGGATGGGTGGTCCTGGCCAGGCCAAGAGCTCCAGGCTGAGCTTGTCACAGGAGCCCAGGGGCAGTGGCTGGGGAGCGGTGTGCAATGTGGCAGGAATCACATTTAGATGGAGAAACCCACAGCTGTCCTGTCCCAGAAGAGTGCAGACAGGGACATGTTTGAAATCCCAGGGAGGCCCCAATCCACTGTTACTTTGGTAGTGGGTTAGTGCAGAGGTCCTGTCACTGGGGAGACTGCTGAGGCAGCCATGCGGCTTCCTGGGGTGAGGCTCCAGAGACCTCTGGGGAGGCCCCGTGGGTGCCGGAGGCCTGGGAGCTTGACTACCTCCAGCTGCTCTTCAGTGCTTTTCCTCAAAGCTTCCTCGAAACGCCTGGCTCGGTCCCGCAGAGACTGGCTCTGGAAGGTCAGCGTGTCTACCTGGTCCTGCAGTAATGACACAAGAAGCCCAGCTCAGTCCACTGCAGACACTGCAGCCTGCAGAGCACAATCAAACGGGCCCTGTGTAAAACGCTATGGGCATCAAAATGAGGCACGTGCTCCCGGACCTCTTTTTGCCAGACCCCGTGGTACAAACTCCCACTGACAACTCCACTGCCTGGACACACCAGCCTTTGCATTTAATGGCACTGGGGGCAGGGGGGCTTTCATTTCTTAAAAATGAAATGGAAGTAACTGGAAACAAACAAACAAAAAAGAGGATGAGCGCTGACTGGTGTGGCTCAGTGGGTTGGGCATCGTGCCATGGACCTCCCACATCAACCTGGCCTGTCTCCCAAGCCTTGGTCCTTGCTGCCCCTGGCCCATCTCACATCCCAGCTCTCCCTGGCTTCACCGGCCAGCTCCCTCTCGTTCCAGGGCCCCCGTTAGCCTCCACTTGGCCTCCCTGGGCCTCAGGGCTGGGTGCGTGTCCCGAGGGGAGCTGAGTCTGTCCCTTCTGTTTAGACCTCTTTCTTAGACCGTGCTCCTGGCCCCCAGCACACACCAGCCTCAAGGCAGCCTCCTGTGTGCAGGCTGAAGGAGGGCACGCTGAGGGGACACCGCACGTCTTCCCTGGCTCATGCCTCCCTGGCAACTCCTGTTTGCCTAAGTTCTCTGCCCAGTGACACCATTTCTGTAATATTGGGGCCTAGGGTCTTCCAACGAACTCTTCTCAAGAGAGAAATGGCCTCTTCACTCAGTATGAGGAGCTGGGTATCGTAAATTATGTAACTGTATATAATCACACTGTAATGTATGAAGTGCTTGCTCGACTGATTTCTTCATCACAGCAGATGACCCTTGGCAGATTTATCATCCTTTTTTTGTCCTTGAGATTTTATTTATTTATTTTAGAGAGAGGGGAAGGAGGGGGAAAGAGAGGGAGAGAAACATCGATGTGAAAGGGAAACATTGATTGGTTGCCTCTCACACGCACCCAGCGGGGGAGCTGGCCTGCTACCCAGGCATGTGCCCTGACTGGGAATCAGACTGGTGACCTTTTGGTCCATGGCATGATGTCCAACCCACTGAGCCACACCAGTCAGTGCTCATCCTCTTTTTTGTTTGTTTCCAGTTACTTCCATTTCATTTTTAAGAAACAAAAGCCCTCCTGCCCCCAGTGCCATTAAATGCAAAGGCTGGTGTGTCCAGGCAGTGGAGTTGTCAGTGGGAGTTTGCACCACAGGGCCTGGCAAACAGAGGCCAGAGCACCGGGCAGCCCCAGTGGAGCAGCAGCACACCCCCAGGGCACCGGGGCAGCGGCCCTCAGAACGTGACTGTCAAAATGCCCACATCACCGTAGGGCTCCTACATCACCGTTGCCGGCACCATCAAAGGAAGCATTTCTTTCAAGCCTCTCCTCCTCCATTAAAAATCAGAAAAGCAAAGAAAGCATCAAGCAGCTACCACCTAGGGTGGGTTTCAAATATCAGACTGCGGTTTTTCTGCCGTATTCACCATGACTCAAAACCGACCTAAGGCACACGGGTGCGCAGCAGTCAGACAGCATGGACTGTTTCCCAAGCCGGGTTGGCTCCTATATGTCAAGTGAGAGGTACAAAGACCCAGCTGGTGACAGGCCCAGCACTGGTCACTTAGGAGCTAACTAATGGCATGATAATAATAGTGATGATGATAACAAAATAAATATAACAAATAATAATATATGTAACTATTAGAATAATAATGGCTGCTACTTACAAGCATTTTGCATGAGCCAAACTAGTGCTGCACACTTTACACACATTACTTCCTTTAATCGAGGAAGGTGCTGTTATCACCACCATTTCACAGACGAGTAAACTAAGGTTTACAGAGCTTACACACTGTCCAAGATTTCAAAGCTAGTTAGAGGGATTGCCATGGGGATTTAAACCCAAGAGCTCAAATCTCTTACCAACAAACCTGTTTCTCTAGCTGCCAGTTCCTCAAGGAACTTGGCTTGAGCAACTCCAACCTCCTTGTACCAAATAACCTTCAGCCCTAATGGATTCTGCTTGTGGGGTGTCACAGCTAAAATATGCGTGGTGCCTGACCGTGAGATGACAGGGGCAGAATGAAGATTCACTCAAGGATGAAACAAAACTCTTGTTTCCTTGTGGTTTTGGGCTGGATGGGGTTTTTGTTGCATCACAGCCTGGCTTCCACTTCCCTGGTGTGCATCCCTCGAGGACAGCACACCCAATGGTATGAGAGGCGGGTGTGCAGGGTAGGATGGGTAGTAGGGGGAGAAGGAAGGCATGTCTCTCCCATCGATTCAGCAGCCCTGAGCCTGGTCTGATAAGATTGTTGGGCATTCTGAACATCACAGGCAAGGATAGTGCAGGAGGAAGGGAGTCCTTGAAACTGTGTACCAGTAAAGGGGGCCTCTGTAGCAATTCTACTAATCTCTGTAGCAATTTCATTAACTAAGACAAAAGAGTCGTTATTAGCTGAGAAAGAATGCCTTGTAGCTGTACATTATTCCCTAGGTTTAGAAGAGGGAGAAGGAAGGGGAACCTAGAAGCTAACTAAGGTACATAACCCCTGAACTCCAACGGCCAGGGCACTCACATTAGCTGAGTGCCCACTACAGCCATGTGCTCAAGTGTATAAGAAAAAACTTACTAACAAACATATTAACAAACTTACTAATACCTTCTTTTCTCTACATACTTCATAAATAAACTTATCTCATGCTTACTCTACATGTTGTCTCTCACTTGAATCCATCTCTTGCGAGGAAGACAAGAACTGAGGCAGGGAACCCCTTAACTCCGGCCTCCCCAGTAACATCTTTTGGTGCTGTGACTTGGATTCCACCCTTTGTCTCCAGTTGCCAGGAACAGAGTGAGTATGGACGGTCTAATCAACGATATTTTATTGCCTGTTCCACCCACCTTCAGGGTTAAAGGAGACACAACAGCACTGTGGAGGAGGGGTATTCAGACATGCTGGGCTTGTGTTTGGGCTTATCCTTAGATCCTTTAGGTCTAAGGATAAGATCTAAAATGATTGCTGGGGTTCTCCTGGGCTCTGAAGACTGAAGAGGCACATCATCCTGCTGATCCTAGTTTTCAAGCATCTCTATGTGAGTAGGGGTCTCGTGGAGGCATCTGGGGTTAATCTCTAAGACATAAAGGGGCCTCATAGGGCACCCCCATCACTGTAATGTACCCACTACACAAGTTCCTAGTCTTTTCTTCCTCTAAACCATGACCAGGGAACGAATAAGTTTGAATCGTTAACCTGTTGTAAGTCTGCTGTATCTTTTCCCCCAAGGACACTGTTGTATCTGCCAGGGGAGTGTCTCACTCTCTCACCCTCTCGAGAAGTAGCTGTGCCTCTTCTTGGGCATAAACCTTTTTATCTCCTCCTAAATTCTAAGGGTCCCAAGGTAACTTACAGCGAGGGGAGCAGTGGGCAGTGCAAGCCCAACCTGGGCTTACCCACTGATCCTGTCTCCAGGGCCCCCTTTTCCTCTGACTTCCAGGTGAACCAAGGCAGCCCTGCCTTGGCTCACTCCTCTCCTATAGCTTTTCTAAGGAGCCAAAGCAGTCACTTAGACTGTCTCCTATTATTTCTTCCTCACTAAGTCTTTGTTTCACTGTCCCCAGAAGCAATGGCTCCCCCTCCCTCAATATAAAAGAGAAAAACTGGTACTTTTAGAACTGAAATGGCTGAAGGTCACCCAAGCCTGAAATCTCCCCTCTTCTTCTCCAGTTCCTTGCAGTTGTCAAAGTTGCTAGATAATAAAGCAGCTCACTTTTGAGCACTGTATGTATCTGCCTATGGGGAAAAGAACTGTTTCTAAAAGTTATAAAATGTAGTCATAAATTTATTAATCTAAAGAATGCTACTTACTTACTCTTGGTTGTCACTAAAAACTAAAGATTCTATTCAAGTTGGGAAAGAACATATAGTTTTAGTAATAAAAGGTAATATATAGAACTAAAACTGGGTTAATAACTTCTAGGTAAGTTAAAAGGGACTAGGAAAGTTTCGGAGGGTTTATGTAAGTTGCAGAAGGATTGTCTATGTAACAGAAGGTCTGAGTATGTAAAAAAAGGGTCTATGCAAATTGACAAAGGATTATGTAAAGGGAAGGAAGAAAAAGAGAAGGAATTGAAGAAGTGGGGGAAAAAAGGAACAAGACATACAGGAAGAAAGGACATTGGAGTAGTAAACTCAAGATGGGAAATAGAAATCAGGAAAACTAGAAATAAAAAAGAAAAGGAAAGGCGCATAAATAAATAGTAAAGACAATTTTAATGACAACTGAAAAAAGCAAAAACTCCCTTTGATTTTCCAAAATCAATTGTTATTTCCCAACGGAAACCCCAGGTACAATTAAACAGTGGAAAACAAATTAATTAATTCAAAATAGTTTTACAAAAAGCAAATTGCTTTGTCAATTGTATCGCTGACTGATGGCCTAACTTGGAGGGAGTCACAGATTGCTCTCCTCCGCTGCTGCACTGTAGATGAAAAGCAGTGCAAAGAGGATCCGCCTCGGCTTATGCTGATAAACTAGCTGGCCGTCACATCAACAGTGCACAGCAACCAGGAGGAAATGCCATCCCAGATTAGGACCCTAACTGGATCTGTCACACTGGGACCGACAAGGACAAGAGGGAATAAAAGTCCTTTGTAGTGACTGAAAGCACACAAACATCAACCCTAAGAGCACATCTGGGGATACATTTTATCCAGAGGACAATCTGAGATATCAGGAGAAAGTTACAAAAGCTAGGCTTAGAAGCCAAGGCCCCCACTGAGCAGCTGGCAGAAATAACTTCCAGTATTTTTAACAATTGAGACAGGGCAGAGGAAGAGCAGAAAACCACTACCCTGTGGAAACAAAAGGCTCACTTGCCAGGCATAGCTTTAAGCCCTGTGCTATTTCAGGGTCACCAGGCCCCAGGAATCCAGAAAAGGGGCAGGACAGTCTTGCCGCTGTCTCAAGGGGCAGTCCTGCCTCTGCCCGCCCTCTTCCATGAGACAGTCTTGCCACTGCCCATGTCTTACGTTTTTCACTTTTCTGAATGGTGAATTGAGAGTCCATTCCCTCTGGTACCCCCTTGTGAGGCAAAGCCAGATGACAGCTGTGTGGCTTAGCTCCTGTACCCTGAAGGACTACTTAACACTCAATTGGAAGATTCGTTATAAAATTCCAAACATCAAAAAGCTAGCCATTCTGGAAACCCAGTATCTGAGGGGTATGCCTTTAAAATTTCATATAACTGTTCCCCACAAAAGAGGGGTGGGCTCCTGCACACTTTTCCAAGATCCCACCGATTGGTAAGCTCCTTCTCGCTGGCTTCACTGGTTGAAGGAAGGTAGAGACACTCTCATCCCCTAGAAGGACTGGTCCATAACAGAGATGGAGATGTCTATTCTGGGTACTCAGAGCTTTGGGTGCCTGGATCCCAAACCCCCAGGTTATGACCCCAGGACACTGGGCTATCTAACCTTTGTGTTTCCTCCTTCCAGATGGGGACAGAACTCGTCTCTACATCTATCCATAATGGAGACGTCCGTTCTGGACACCCAGGGCCTCAGAAAATGCTGAGCCCTCAGGGTATGACCCGAGGATGCTAGGCTGTCAACCTTCTGGTATTCCTTCCATCCAGATGGGAAATCAGGAATCCATTCCAGGCAGGACCCGACTGGGCTATATCCTTTCCAATTGGTCACAGTTTGATCCCCAACTTCTAAAGAAGAAAAGACTAGTCTTTTTTTGCAATACTGTTTGGCCTCAATATCAGTTAGCTGATGAGAAATTCTGGCCACTACATGGAAGCTTAAATTACAGTACCGTATCTCAACTTGATCTCTTTTGCAAATGCCTAGGCAGGTGCCCAGAAATCCCCTATGTACAGGCATTCTTCTATTTGAGGGGCAGAAGGGACCTTTGCTACCAGTATAAGCTAATTCCTTCCACAATGCCATCTAGTGACCCTTGTAGGAGCACCTCCTCATCCACACCCCCACCTTTGGGAAAAGCCCCTTTAGAAGAGGCACTATCAACATCTTCATCACTACTGCCTTGTCCCGGACCTCCAGCTCAATTAGCAACCTGCACACCTTCCATTGATAGGCCTTTTCCACCGACTAAGCTCTTACCATTGATCGTGGCTGCAGGAGAGCATGGTCCTCAGCTAGTACATAAGCCCTTCTCTCTTGCAGAACCACAGCAGATTAAGGCAGACTTGGGAACCTACTCCAGCATCCCAGATAGGTACAGAGATGCATTCCAACACCTTACCCTAGCCTACGAGTCAACCTGGAAGATCATTATGGGTGTCTTGGGGCAGGCCTTACCAGATCTTGAGCAGGAAAAGGTAATCAAAGAAGCCAGAAAGTTTGCAAACAACTTACTAATGCCTTATTTTCTCTCTATATTTCATATATAAATTTCTCTCATTTCCACTATATGTGTTGTATCTCATTTGAATTCATCTCTTGCAAGCAAGACAAGAACCGAGGCCAGGAGACTCCCACATGGGTCTCCTTGGTAACAGGTGCATGGGGAAGGCAGTTTGGGGTAAATTTGCCAAGGATGAACCACGTGAGGGCCGCATATTGCAGGTCCATCAATGGGTTAGCGGTGGGCTCACTAACACACTGCAATGGGAGGCTGTTTCCCATTGAAAATTGTTGGAGAGTAAATTCAGTGGCTATGACAATAGTACCAATCTTGGATTCTGTTCTAGGCAGGGTCACCTCTGTGCAATGAACATTGCCAGGGGAAAGTGACCATTAGAGAAGCAACATTCCTGGCTTTGTATTAGTTATGGAAATCAGTGGACATTCATTGTTATCATCATCACAATGTCCAGGTGTTAGTGTCTCTAATATTTAAAAAATAATCTTGGTTTGATTGCAATGTTCATAGCTGGGAATGGGGGCAGGGCCACCAACCTCACCCTAGCTTCCCAGGCAAGAGGGAGGTGCCGGTGATCTGGGGGACCCTTCATTCTCTCACGGGAGGTCAGAAGGAAGCTGGTCTGCTTCCTGACATCTGAGACTCACGTTTTCCATAGACTGGCAGCAGGAGGCACAGAATAAGACTGCTCCCATCCCCCTACCTCCAGGTGATTACAGTCCTTTTTATAATTTTCAGACACGTCCTATGGCGTCTGCCCTTCACAACCCTCCTTACACCATTCCCCAGCCTAGAATGCACTTCTCCCAAGTCTTTCCCCTTCCTCATACACAGCTCAGTGAATCCTCTGGCCACAGCAAGGGTGGAGCAACCTCTCAGAGCTCCTGTGGTGCTCACGAATGGTATTATTCGTTTGGTGCAACCATGCATCATGCATTATCTTTTGTGGTTGTCTGTCACTGTTTGTGTCACAACTTTCTGAGTAGACAGTAAATGCCTTAGGACAAGGAGAATGTCCCATCTCCCTCTACATTCCAATGCTCAGCACAGGGCCTAGTACATAGCAGGTGCTGGATAAATGTTTGTGGACAGGACTAACGGTGTTACCATTAACTTGACATCAGAGTTAAGGAGATATTAACCTGTAAGGACAGCCGTAGCTTTTCAAAATTGTCTTCCAAGTCTTTCTTTTCAAGCTCGTGTGTAGACATCAGTTCTGGAGAGAAGACATCAGATTGTTAAGTTGGTATTTCTTCTGAAAAGGATCAAACAACACACTTTTGCCAGACCAAATGAGAGGCTTGGGTGAAAAAGAGACACTGGTATACTGCAGGCTGGAGCCTAAAGAGACTGCTCCAGTACTTTGGAATTGGATGCAGTGTTATTTAGGAGAGGAAGTGAATAGGAGAAAGGGAGAGAAAAAGGGGGAAAGAGGAAAAAAAAAAGAGGGAGGAGCAAATAGAGTGCACGCGTGCACGTGTGCGTGCGCACGCGCACACACTCATTTCTATACCCTGCTTTCCCACCATCCTGGCCAAGGTAGAGGCTCCATCCACAGTCCTCATTGATTCTCCAAATTCCCCTCACGGTAAAACAACTGGATGATCCATGTGAAGTCTCTTTCTCCTTCCCTTCCCAGGGTCACCCTTTCTTTCCACCACAAAGCAGCCCTCAGGGCTGAAGCAGGGGGCTTCCAGGGAGAGGGTGCAGTAAGCAGCCCCCATGCTGCCCGTGTTGCCGGAGGACGACAGGTGAACGGGGCCAGTGATGCATGCACCAGGCCTCTGAAAACCACAGATCTCTAGGATTTGCTTGAGCAAAGACTTGATGTGAAGACACTCAGACAGAAGGGAGGACTAACTGGATTGGTTCCTCTTGGAGAGTTTGGAACCATTCTATTGTGTGCAAAGTGGCATTCCAGTAATAATTTGCAAGTTAGGTAGGAAGAGAGGTCATGTAAGACTTATTAAGCAAATGGATTCAATTTTCCCCCAGATGGGAACAGCCTTATTAGCTGGGTAAAGCCCATCTCATTCTGGCAACACAAGCACATTGTTCGCACGTTATAAATGGAGAGGGGGAAGGTCTCATTAATCAGCCTGGGTCACACATGCGGTGGACAGGAGAGTACTAGAGACCAACAATTATCATTCTGGCTGGCCAGAGCTGCCATTCAGAAAAAATTTGTGGCTTCCATTGATCCAAATCTTTGAATTAATGACAGTGAAGGTCTCTAAGAAATCCAGTTATTATAGCTAAAATTTCCATTAAAAAAAAGTTTGTGCCGATTTCATTAACATAAAACCATGTAGCCTTCTGTCTACCTGCCTCTGTCTAAACGACTGGTTTTAATAGTCATTGAGAACATTGTCCTCACCATAATACTGAATTTTTTGCTACTATTATATATATGTATATTATATATAATTCAAAGGCCTTGGATGTGGTGGTCTAAGCAAGGTTTGCTAGTGAGGAAAATCCATTAGGTATATGTACATGAAAATCAAGAACGAAAAAGTGACACTGTGGCTCACTGCACCACTTCCATTCATATTCCCTTTCAGAGGCCTTTCTACGGCACAGTGATGGGCTTTAGGATATTTTCAGATGACCCCAAACCCCAAGAAAAAGGCAGGCAGTATCTATTCTGGACATGGTATAAACCACAGCTAATATCTTAATGTGCTTAATTACTTGAAGGTCATGACACTCTACTCCATTCCCATACCTGGTACTGTGCTCTAAGACAATGGTTCTCAAATTTTGCTGCATATTAGAATTGCCCGGGTAGCTTAAAAAAAATCCTGATGCCTGGGCTGCACACCAGAGCAGTTAAATTGGAACCTCTGAGGTGGGATTCACTCATTAGTGTTTTTAAAAAAAATTCCCAGGTAGTCCCAAAGGGCAGCCCAGGGTGGGAACTGGCACATATGCTGTTTCTGCCACAGACATTGTTGCTGATATTTTTGCGGTATAGCTAAATGGCTGTAAGGCTATTTTTCTGTAAACAAGATAAAATAACTGGATGACAGTTTAGGGTCTGAGAGTCTGTCGTCCCATTTCTCCACTGATGAGTCTCACCGTTACTCTCATTTTAACATTCTATGTAACTGCTAGCGAGCCCTCATACTGGCCTAGGCAGGGATGAGTACACAGGTAGTGCCGATCTTACAACAGGTAGCATTTCTTCCTGATAGGATGATTTGCACCAAGAGTTGGGTTGTTGTTTTGAAACCCAGTGCACTGGGAGGAGAGAGGGAGGCTGAGGGCCTTCTCTGAGAGTGCAGAGCTGAACCCACATCTCCCACAGAAGGAAGACAAGGGCTTAGGACGACCTACAAAATAAAATCAGTTATTTGAGCAGAATTACCATGAATCTATACACATTTTAAATAAAGTCTTACTTTTCTTCATGTTTCATTATGTTTTCTTTAATGTTCCTCTATTTATTGTGATTTGATTTTTTTTTTTTTTTACATCAAAATTACCTTAAGGCCAATTAATTATGTGTGAAAATGTGTGTGGCATGAATGCCTGCAGCAGAGACTCGCCCGCAGGGCATTTTTCATGCACTAACAGCTCCCAGAGGGCGGGGCTGGTGCTTCAGGGAGGCACCTGACGGGAGGACTGATTACTGCACAGTGGGCTTGGTGTCTGCAAAGAACATTTGAAAATGATAGAACACTGAAGTTAATTTTTAAAATTTTAAAATTTATTAATTTTAAATTTATTAATCTATTGTTAAGGAAGGCTGGGAGAAAAGTGAGAGGAGAAAAAACTGAAAAATAGGTTGTATATTTAGTAGAAACTCAGGTTAAAACTGTAAAAAACCTCTTTCACAAAGTCAAAATCTTAGCAGTATAGTAAATGTTGCTGTTGTTGCTATAACCTCCATAGAACCCTAAGTATCCAAAGATAATTTAAAGTTACCAAAAATATAAAATGAAAGATCCAGAGACCACTTAAGCCCTTGGTGAATATGGTCTGTGGGCTTGAGGGGTGGACCCAGGCCCACTGTGACGTTGCTGTGGTTCCGAGAGCACTGTGAGTGTGGGGAAGGCGTATTTTTTCTGGGGACTGACATTTAATTTCATAAGACCAAGACAAAGCCCAGACTCCCATGCCTACTTTAGAACAGTGGTTCTCAAGCATGGCAACCCATCAGGCCCCCCTCAGGAGCTTTATAAAAGCTTGGTGCCCAGGCTGTTCCCCTGGCCAGCTGCTCACGACCCTGGAGTTGGCCCTCAGCTGGCACCAGCCTCCTGTTACAGCGCCACGGGTTCCGACATCCAGGCAAGGCTGAGAGTAACTGCCTCGGAGGGAAGAAGGGCTACCTGGATCCTGGCTTTCCATCTTCCCTGTCCTCAGCAAGCAACACAAAGGACACATCAGGAAGGAAGGGAGGAAGGAAGGGAAGTAGAGCAGAGAGCAGGAGGTGCTCCTTGCGTCTGCAGCGGGAAGGTTGGGCTTGCGGGGCCCACCCCTGCTGGCCACACACATCTAGGATGGCAGCTACCTTGCATTTTGTGGTCATGGTCGTCCTGCAGGATTGCGATGGCCACCGTGTGGTTATTTTCCATCTCTAGGAGGGCGGCCTCATGGCTGGTGGTGATATCTTCTACCTGTGGAAGAGTCACAGTTACGGCTACGCAGAGCGGGGATGGGTGGCAGTGATATCCTCACTGCTTGGAGAGCAGAGATGAAATTCAACGAGTAGAAAGGTCAGTGGTCCAAAATGCCAAGGACAAGTCATTCTACTGAGATGAGAGCTGCCCTCATCCATGTGCCAAGGCTGGGGAGCCAGGATCTGGTGGTGATGTGGCAGCCCCTGAAGTCAGGTCATCCGCAGGGGGATGACTGCTCCCAGTCGGGGGTGGCTGCCTGAGCCCCCTCTTTACCATCGAGGCCTGGTTTTGGACCATCCACTCCCCACTCCCACTCCTTCCCTTCCTACCAATCACTCTGTGCAGTGATAGGGAAAGGAAGAGGGACCCCTCTTCTAGATGGTCTGTCTCTTTCCCAGTGGCAGGTGGGAGCATAGGGCACAGGACAAGCGGAGGGAAGGAACAGTTACTAACTAAGTTACCTGCTGTCAGATACTCTATTTAACCCTCCCAGCAACACTGTAAAATAAATATTTATGCCCATCTTATGGGAAACTGAGGCTTATAGAGGTTTGAAATATTTTGCCCAAGGCCTAGTAAGGGGCAGTGCCAGAAGGCTGGGCCCAACCGGGTATTTCTGACTCCAAAGGCAAAGCTCCCTCAAACACACCGCTGCTGTCTTCCCAGCAAGGCCACACCCAGTGCCTAAGGAACCTCTCACCAAGGTCAAGGCAGAGGGAGACTGTGTGCTCCCTGTACCTGCCTCCTAGCCGTGAGCTTGCAATCTGGGTTTCCGGTCCAGCAATGTGAGCTGGGTCCTGGCTGGGGCTGCTGCTTGTCTGGCTGCAGATCATTTCCAGTAGTTTAATAATCACAAGTAGCGAAGCCAGCCTAGGATTTTTTATTTTCAACCTTCCTCATCTCTACCCCAGCCCCACTATGTGTACTCTTTTTGTTATTTTGTTGTTGTGGTTATTGCTTTAACTTCAAATGCATGACTCAGATTGCATAAAACAACCCCTCCCTGCACTAGCAAACCAGAACAGTGTTTTTCCAAGTGCTTTGTCAGTGAGCATTGCAAAAAATACTCTTGTACATTGTAATACAGCACACACAAAACCAAAGTGTTGCAAAACAATACTTTTCCCTCCTACTTGCAATGTTCTGGTTAATTTTTATTGCGTTTATTTCAAAATGCTGGTAGGCTTACTAATGTGTCAAAACCTGGAATTTGAAAAACATGGTAGCAGGAAATGTGTCCAGGTCCCTAAGCTGCTTAAGCGGTGCACCAGTTAAACATACTGCTTCCAGCAGGTAATGTTCAGCCGCTGCTGTGGAGTCCTTTGTTTCTCTGGGGATAATTCATAGGCTGACCTTTCATCTGAAGGGAAGGGCTCTCCAAAGGAAAGGAAGCCCACTTGTGGGATGGATGTATGGGAGTATTTTTATTTTAAAATGGGATATATTTTCATTCTGGATACTATAATTGCATGAAAAATTTGCCTAACTTCTCTCTCCTAAGATAAATGAGAACTTTATCCATGAAAACAGAAATATCACTGGCAAAACCAACAATGAACTCCACTTTCAGTGTTACAAAAGCTGCATCACAATTTTAAAATGAATGTGATATGCAATGATTCACTTTTACTTCCTGGCCATTCTTGAATAAACAATGTTTTACCTAAGGCTCAGAACTATGATTCCATTCAGCAGAAAGGCTGATTACCACAGTATATAACTACCCAATTCCTATTTATATGAAGTTTTTATAGAATCTTTGTCTGAAATGTTTCAGCTTCTTAAAAAATAAATCACTGGTTAAAAAAAATGAAACTGTATTTTCTTTCTGTTTCATTACTGATGTCACTTGAGCCAAGAATACCCTGTCTGTAGACATAAATACCCACACAATATTTGGATGTTTGTTACCCAGTTCAGTCTAAAGAAAAGCCTTTGATCAGTCCTTGGAGTGATTCCAACTTATTGGGCTCTTACAGAAATTGCCATGTTCCAGAAGAGTCTCATGTGTCCCTGATGGTGAAGACACCCTGACTGGCAGCACTACATTATGTCTGAAGCTCAACATACGCCTTTCTGGTTTGTTGGGAGGCAGGCCTTCGATTTAGTGACGGCACAACACCATGTCCAATATATTTAGCATGATGGAAGGATATGATCTACCTGTTCCAGCCCCTCAGAGGTGCTTTTATGAGTGAAATACTGATACCTTAACTCTGAAAGGCCATATGTAATAAGAGGAAACCAATGTGAGCTGATGAGCCATGATTTGGGCACAAGAATCCTTACTCTTCAATAGTTAAAGTTTCTATACATCTTTATGGTTTTTAAAGAATGTTCCTTCTATGGGAGAGAGACTATATACTATTGGCCATACTCTTTCCTGTCATACATACATAGTATCAGTTGCCATGACTGCTCCTCCCATGGTCCTTGGCTTCTTTCCAGAGCACAGCCTCACACGCTGAAGCAGCCAGTGAGAACTCTCAGCCCAAGGGGACCCTGAAACCTTCTGCAGACATTTGAGGGGATTCAAACAAGCTGACTGAAGGGAAACACCAGGTCATTTGATTCATTGTCAGGCCAGGGCAAACTTAGGCTGGGTGAACATCCTTCACTTGGGGCCCCTTTCCACCACTACTGGACCGATTTCCCTCCTCCTCCTTCAGGGAGAGAGAAGTGTGGGTTTCACCAGGGAGGAGTCTGTCACTGTGCCCAGTAGCCCCCATCGAGTGGAGAAGCAGCTCTTCCCACAGCAGACTCCATTCCCGCTGGGCCTTTCAGTTCAGCTGGTCTCAGCAATAGCAGATAAAAAGATTGGAAAGCCACCCTCTCAGATGGGTAAGGATACAGCCGTGGGCTTCCTTCACTCAGCCATTTGCCAAGTGCAATTATCTGAGGCTTTGGCAATTCACTGAGAGACAACTTACAAAGCAATGAAGATGTATGTGCTTTGTGTCATCTTAGCTTTACTCATTAAACACATACCAGGTTAAACTCCCAGTTACCTCCCTTCCAGACACATATCCTATCTGGTGGGATAGAGAGAGCCACCCATCTACTCTCTGCAGGGCTCTCTTACTGAATATCCTTTCCTTCCCCTCCATGACTGCTCACAATGGTCTGTGTATCTATCTCTCAGAGTGGGCAGCCAGGTGTCCTGGAGCAGCCAGTCCCACTTTGCCGCATTCCAGGATGTACCTTCTGCCCCCTCTACAGCCCACCACACAGAGCAAGCAGGCGTTCGCAGAGACCCCCACCTTCCCACAGTGCCTCCTCCCAGGGGGCTGGGACTGTGGGCTGTTCTGGGTGGGGATCTGGTGCTGGAAGACTGAGGGTCCCCAGGACCTCATTCTGTTTGATTAGAGAGAGAATGATTTCTGTTGGTGGCAGCTGTGTGCTGGTCGTGTGGGAGGACTAAGGAGATGCAACGCAAGATGATGAACGAAGTGGTCTCTGTGCATTCTGATGAAGCGCGGGGATGTGGAGCCTGCTAGTTGGTCTGAAAGGGTGATTTCCTCAGAATGAGGAGAATGATGTTCTGAATATGACACAAAGCAAACGCAAATGACCAAGGAGGAGCAGTGCTGCTCCCGGGGGGGCGAAGTCACCTCTGTTCAGACTTTATTGAGAAGAATCTACAATGACTTCCTAGACTTTGACCACTGGGTCTTGGAGGAATGGGGTCAAAGATCATGAGTCCAATCACTGAATGTCAGGCTCTGTGGCTGAGTATCTTTGGGAACAGCCAAAGGCAGCCGGGGGAGGAGAACTGGAAGGCACTGTCTTTGGGCAAAAAGGGAAAAACCTGTGTGTTTACAGTGAAAATCTGTTTTGTGTGCTGGCAATTAGGCTTCCATTAATGCAGAGTTAGCTATGACATGAGAGCTGAATCCGATTAGACATTTTATAGTTATAGTCTTGAAATAACATTCAGACCCTATCTGTAAGGCGCTAAAGGAAGCCAGGAAGCCAGGCCGTGCCCCCTACTCATTTCCCCAGGACTGAAGAGCAAGGCTCTGAGTCTGGGGACACTGCAGTTCTAGACGCCATACTTGGCCCTGTCAGCGATTCTGATTCAATTAGTGTGGGGTGAGAATGAGGAGGGGTGTTTTGCCACAAGTTCCCCAAGTGTTCCCATGTGTGGGCAGAGGGAGATAGTCTTTGTCCCTCCAGGTGACTGAATGGCTGGATTTGTCATGAGGGAGACTCTGCACCACAGTCAGGTCAGCCCGTGGTGCGTGAGCTCCCATCCCAATCTGAGTAAAGCCTGCACAGCTGGTGTGGGACCGCGGGGGTGAGAAGAGGCCAGCTGGTTAACTTGACTTTAAAGCTTAGAGAGCATAACTTCTGACAGAGATGTTACTATCCATAAAGACAGCACTGCCATATGCAATTGTTCCTGATAAAGAAACCCGAGTGTGGAGATGCCGCGCACCATACCCATCTCCATTGCAGCCTGCACGTGAGTCTCCTCCTGCACTAAGCCAATGAGCATTGATTCTACAGGAAAGTAAAACACAGATGCTGTGCCCTACCTTTTCTCCCTCACTGCCTTATGCCTTCTGCTGATGAGAAGCTGATGGTCGGGCCCCCAGCCAACATTTGGCAACAGGGGCAAAATCAGGGGCCTGAATAATTCACAGATTTAAATCACCCACACCCCAAACCAGTGGGTGTCTATAGGCAAGGTTTACTAAGACCCAAAGCATTCGGATGTTATTTCTAATATAAAGTGTCCCCTATCATTACAGTGAGACATAAACTCTCAATCCCTAAACACACCATCTGTGCTTTTCACCCAATATCATAGTTTCTTGAGCACTTTCTCAGAACCTCCCCTGGCTGTCAACTGAGACATGGACCAACCAAGCCACGGTTTATAAATCTTCGTATCTCTGGCAGGGCCCTAATATAGTGCCTTCTGTACAGTGAGCATTCCCTAAATGTTCTTGGCATAGGTGAATGGATAAATAAATGAATCACTTTTGATGTCATAAAGGACCAAAAAACAGAACTCAGAACCCTCATAAGACACGGCCCTTTTTAAAGTATGCATAGGTAGCTTCCGTAACTCATTCTCAGTGTCAGGGCCTTTCCTTCAATGCATCTGTGTCTCAGCTTAAAGGTGGGTGAGAGCTCATCTCCCAGCTGTGCTCCTGCACCGATGGTGCTGAGGCGGTGTCCTGCCCCAGCCGCACACCACTGGTGGAAGGCTGTGCCCAGCAATGGCCTCAGCTCCGTGGTTTCCATACATGGCACCTGCATGGGAGCCTTCACTCAGAAGCTCCCTCAAAGCACGTTCTCCTGCCTGGCAGCTAACCTCTGGTGTCCATCCTCCCCTCTTGGCACCTTCTCAACCAGCCCAGAACTTTGGACCCGAAGACTTTTAGTGAATACAAGCATAAACATGTTCTCTGTGTAAAACTGGGAGTGAATGACCCAGGGACGCAGACACACAGTAGGCTGATACTTGCACCAGGTTTCGGATGTAGCAGGAACCACGCTAACACTGCAGACCGCCGCAGCACCAATGTCTGCTTACAGAAGTCATGCTCCTCTTTGAGCTTAGGAGGCAAGATGCTGCAGGTTCAGTTTCTGACTTTAGCAGCAGCGGTAACTTTAGCTGTAACTTCATCTGTTTCCTGGCCTCTAAGTCTAAACAACCTCAAGCAGTCAAGCATATCTGGTTTCCACAGGCCTCTAGAAAAGGAGATGCTGGATAGAATAAAATGCATCAGATACGAGATTTCTCATTACCACAACAGGTCTTATTATTACTCTGAAATTCTCCTTGTGCCTCCTCAGATCCACAAGCCTCTGGGGACCGTCACCGTCCAGGGTATCTATTTGGAAACTATCTGAGGAGGGCAGCCCAAATGTTCATGATTGTGAAGGGCCACCCACCACAATGTGAGATTTAGAGGGCTCTTTGCAAAGGCCAGTTCCCCTTAGGAACATTATAAGCAGACCATGAGAAACAATATATTGCTTAGAAGTTGGGTACCATGGCAATATATCTTGGGGACTTAGAAAAAGAAGAAAAGAAAGGAACAGAACTAGTTTTCATGAAAGCAGAATCACCTCTGGCTCTTACTCGCTGTCACCTGACAGGCTCCCTGGGGATTATTCTCAACTTCTTCCAGATGAACTCCTTCTCTGGTAAGACTACCCGGCTAGCTAGCAGCACTCATGCTTGCATTCGGCAAGTACAGGCTGACAGACTGCTTGGTGCAGGCACACTCAGGTACCAAAATTCTAGCTGTAAGCCTGGAGACAACTTCAACTCCATGCTGGAAAGCGTGGCTCTGCAACAGATTGTGTTCAGCCCTGGCTTTCCTGTGAGCAGCTCTGAAAATTCTCACAAGTTACTTAACCTTCGGGTTTCAGTTTTGTCACACGTAATTAGGGATAATAATGATACATACTCTGCAGGGTGATTGTGAGGATTAAATACGTTAGTACATGTACAGGGTTAACAGAAGTGCCTGCTGCTCAAGTACTAAACACATGTTTGTCTCATGGAATGTGCAGGTGATAAATAGGATAGAAAAGTAAAATCCATAATACATTAGACAGTGGTAAGTGTTGAGGAAAAGCCATTGCAGGAAGGAGGAATAGGAAGAGTGTGTATGTGGTAGGGGGGAGGAGCTGTAATTTGAGATGAGGAAAAGCCTCACTGAGAAAGTGACTTTTGAGAAAAGTCTGGAAGGGAAGGAGAGAGGGAACCATGGAGTATCTAGAGGGAGAGCATTCCAGGCAGGAAGTAGAAGCCTGCCTCGGAGGACACGGAGAGGGAGGTCAGAGGGGCTGAAGGGGAGGAAAGAAGGCAACAGGAGAAAGAAATGAGGTTGGAGAGGGAACTTTACAGGATGCTCACCCAGGAATAGGACTTCTGGTTCAAGCAGTGCTGCTCCCTGCCACCTCCCCCACGCATGCCCCCATAGCAGAGGCAGAGCACAGAGCCCACACTGACCTGCTCCTGATGCTGACGCTGGATCCGCAGCAGCTGGGCACTGTGCTCCTCCTGAAGCCGCGTCACCTCTGCCTGGAACTGTAGCTGCAGCCGCCCTTGCAGGTCCTGGAGCTCAGCCTGCTGCTGCCAGCCCAACTTTCTCACCTCATCCTCAAACCGCCTCTCCAGCTCCTCCTTCTCCTTCTGTAGTTTCTCACACTTGGCTGTGTTGAAGGCTGGGAACAGAACAGCATCTTTGTAAAAACCAGGAAGGAGACACCAAAAGGCTTGAACACCCATGAGAGGGCATCAAGGTTAATGTCATAATGGGGGCAAGACCCTCTTGTTTTGGAAGGACCTCACAGTTTGTAAAGGGTTTTCCATTCTACCACACTGAGCATTGAGGGGAAGCCCAAGGTCTCCTGGTGCGCAAAGAGCTGTGAAAGCCAATTTGAGCTTTCCGACCGCCAGACTTATGGTCCTGCCATAAAAGCAGGGCTCCTCTGGGGATCCCAGAGACCACAAGCATCAAAAATATTGGACGTTTGTTCAGCAGGCACCCTTCCAGTCTCACCCTGGGTAGGTCAGAGCCCCTGGGGCAGCAGCTCAGGATGTAAACTTTTCACAAGGCCCTTGGTGACTCTTCTGCCAATCAGGGCTTGAGGCCTCTGCACTTCTGGGAGCTGAGATGGGATAGGGGAGGCACCAAGCTGAAGGCTGTTCTAACTGGACAACTGCAGAGTAAGTGCGGGTTTCCTGTCAGGGGACCGAGGCTGCACAGTAACCATGCAATACCCCCTTGGATGGGCATGCCACTCTGTCCCTGTCCTGGTTTGCTTCCTAGGCCACCAGAGGGGGATGAGCCAATGACAGCAGCCCAGTGATCCACCTCCTTATCTGTGCCTCTCTTCCCTAGGTTGTGGGCAAGAGCAGACTGCTTTTGTTTGCAAGATCCCTTTCTCAACCGCAAAGTACTTCCATGGAGGAGAACAACATCTTGACAATCTACTATGCTTAGGTCAAGTGATGCTGATTACACACGCACATGGCACAGACATCATGTCACACATCATCTATGGTCCACAAGGATGGGTGCTGCCATGCTCTCTGCTCTGTGCATATGCGAGGAGACCTCACCTATGTCCTTAAAATAGAGTGAGTAGGTAAATGATCTGGTTCATGATAACCAACACCCTAGGGGTTCTTTGTTATGATCAGAAGTATATATCCAAAGTAGTTGGACAGCTTTGGACACACCCTGATTGGAAGTCTCATCCTAAAATAGACTTCAAAATAGGGGCCATAAAAAGAGACACAGAAGGACACTTCATAATATTCAAGGTAAGAATCCATCAAGAAGACATAAACATTGTAAACATATATGCACCCAACATAGGAGTACCTAAATATATAAGGAAAATGTTGGAGGACTTCAAGAGAGATATAGACAGTAGCACACTTACAGTAGGGGATTTTAACACCCCACTGTCAACAATGGATAGATCTTCCAAACAAAATATCAACAAGGATATTGTGGCACTGAATGACATACTAGATCAAATGGATTTAACTGTTATATACAGAACCTTACATACCAAAGAAGCAAAATACACATTCCTTTCAAATGCACGTGGAACATTTTCAAAAATAGACCACATGGTAGGTCATAAAACAAGCCTCAACAAATTGAAGAAAATTGAAATCATATCAGGCATTTTCTTGGATCACAAGGGCTTGAAACTAGAAGCCAACCTCAAGGGAAAAACTGAAAAACATTCAAATTCATGGAGACTGAATGGCATTCATTAAACAATGAATGGGTTAATAATGAGATCAAGAAAGGAATCAAAAAGTTTCTGGAAACAAGTGAAAAGGAACACATAACAGTCCAAAACCTATGGGACACAGTGAAGGCAGTCCTGAGAAGGAAGTTCATAGGATTACAGGCCTACTTAAGAAAGACAGAAATATTTTAAATAAACAACCTAACCCTACAGCTTCAAGAACTGGAGAAACAACAGTAAACACAGCCCAGACTGAGTAGAAGAATGGAAATAATCAAGATCAGAGCAGAATTAAATGAGGAAGAGACTAAAAAAGAACAATCCAAAGTATCAATAAATCTGAGAGCTGGTTCTTGAAAAAGATAAACAAAATCAAAAGCCTTTAATCAGACTCATCAAGAAAAAAAGGGAAACCCAAATAAATAAAATCAGAAATGAAAGAGGAGAAATTACAACTGGTACCACAGAAATACAAAGAATTCTAAGAAATTACTATGTACAACTATATGTCAAGAAATTTGAAAACTTGGGTGAAATGGACAAATTTCTAGAAACATATAATCTTCTAAAATTGAATCAAGAAGAAGTGGAAAGCCTGAAAAGACCAATAACAGCTGGGGATATCAAAGCAGTCATCAAAGAACACCTGGCACACAAAAGCCCTGGACCAGATAGTTTCACAGAAGACTTTTACAAAATATTTAATGCAGTGCTAACCCCTATCCTTATCAGACTATTCCAAAAAATCCAAGAAGAGGGAAGACTCCCAAATTCTTTCTATTAGCATCATACTAATCCCAAAACCAGATGAAGACACAACAAAGAAAGAAAAGTACAGGCCAATATCACTAATTAGCATAGATGCTAAAATCATCAACAAAATATTGGCAAATCATATCCAGCAATACATTAAAAAGATCATCCACCATGATCAAGTGGGATTCATCCCAGGGACGCAAGGATGGTTCAATATTCACATATCAATAAACTTAATACTTCACATAAACAAAAGGAAAGACAAAAATCACATGACCATATCAATATATGGGGAAAGAGCATTTGATGAAGTACAGCACCCATTTATGATAAAAACACTCAGCCAAGCGGGATTAGAGGGACCATACCTCAACATATAAAGGCCATACACAAGAAACCTACAGCAAACACCATACTCGACAGGTAAAAACTAAAAGCTTTCCCACTGAGATCAGGAACAAGATGAAGATGTATACTTTCACCACTTCTATTCAACATAGCATTCAAAGTCTCAGCCATAGTGATCAGACAAGAAAAAGAAATAAAAGTCACCCAAACTGGAAAGGAGGAAGTAAAAATGTCATTGTTTGCAGATGACATGATGGTGTACATAGAAAACCGAACAGACTACTTGGCTTCGTAAGTGAATTTAGCAAAACAGCAGGATACAAAATCAATATTCAAAATTTGAAGGCATTTTTATACACCAACAATGAAATATCAGAAATAGAAACTAGGAAACAAATCCCATTTTCTATAGCAACAAGAAAAATAAAGTGCCTAGGAATAAACCTAACAAAGGAGGTAAAAGACCTGTGCTCAGAAAACTACACAACACTGAAGAAAGAAATTAAGGAAGACACAAATAAATGGAAGTATATACCATGTTCATGGATTGGAAGAATTAACAATATCAAAATGTCCATACTACCCAAAGCAATTTTTAGATTCAACACAATCCCTATTAAAATACCCATGACATATTTCACAGATATAGAACAAACATTAAAAAATTTATATGGAATCATAAATAGCCCAAAATAACCTCAGCAATTTTGAGAAAGAAGAACAAAGTAGGAGGGATCTCAATAACTGATATCAAACTATCTTACAAGGCCACTGTAACCAAAACAGTCTTGTACTGGCATAAGAACAGACACATATATCAATGGAACAGAATAGAGAGCCCAGAAATAAACCCATGTGTCTATGGTCAATTAATATTCAACAAAGCAGGCAGAAGCATAAAATGGAGTAAAAATAACCTCTTCAACAAATAGTGTTGGGAGAGCTGGACAGCTACATGCAAAAAAATGAAACTTGACCACCAACTTACACCATACACAAAAATTAACTCAAGATAGATAAAAGGTTTACATATAAGTTGTGACACCATAAAATTCCTAGAGGAGAACATTGGCAGAAACATTTCAGATATTCCATGCAGCAATATTTTCACCAATATGTCCCCAAGAGCAAGGGACATAAAGGAAAGAATAAAAAAATGGGACTTCATCAAATTAAAAACTTCTGCAGAGCTAAAGAAGATATCAGCAAAATGAAAAGGGAACCAACCATATGAGAAAATATATTTACCGATGCTACTCAGACAGGGGTTTGATTTCCAAAATATGTAAAGAACTCACATGACTCCACACCAGGAAGACAAATAATCCAATTAAAAAATGGGGAAAGGACCTGAACAGACGCTTCTCCAAGGAGGACATATATAAGGCACAGAGACATATGAAAGGATGCTCATCATCACTAGCCATCAGAGAGAGGCAAATTAAAACCACAGTGAGATACCACTTCACACCATTCAGAATGGCCAGCATAAACAAATCAACAAACAAGTGCTGGCAAGGTTACAGAGGAAAGGGAACCCTAGTACACTGTTAATGGGAATGTAGGCTGGTGCGGCCACTGTAGAAAAGAATATGGAATTTCCTCAAAAATCTAAAAATGGAACTGCCTTTTGACCCGGCAATTCCACTGCTAGGATTATACCATAAGAACCCCAAAACATCAATTCAAAAAAACCTATGTATCCCAATATTCAAAGCAGCGTTATTTACAATAGCCAAGTGCTGGAAACAGCCTAAGTGCCCATTAGTATATGAGTAGATAAAAAAACTGTGGTACATTTACACAGTGGAATTCTGCACAGCAGAAGGAAGGAACTCCTGCCTTTCACAACAGCATGGTATTATGCTAAGTAAAATAACCTAGGCAGCGAAAGACAAATACCATATGATCTCACCTATAAATGGAACCTAATCAACAAAACAAACAAGCAAGAAAAATAGAACCACATACATGGAAATAAAGAAGAAACTGACAGTGACGAGAGGGGAGGAAGGAGAGGGATGATGGGGGAAAGAAAGGGAAGGGAAGGGTAGTCAAGGAATATGTATGTATAAAGGGCCCATGGACAGGGACAACGAAGGGGAAGATTGAATGTGGGAGGTGGGGGTGGGTAGGGCAGGGGAGAATACATGGGAAAAATGAGGACAACTGTAATTGAACAACAATAAGAATAAAATAAATAAAATAAGGAATATTAATATTCAATAAAAAAGAAGTCCTTCCTTATAAGGAGCTAAGAAGTCAAAGCCTTCTTTGCCACATTTGGCTCTAAAAGGGTTAGTTAATTAGCGCAAGAGATGTTTCAAATTATTTTTCCCCTGGTGAAA